TATATGCCTAGGTTCGGTTCCATGAAGAAAACGTCTTGCTAGTGAAGTTTGTCGTCGAACATTAATTTTCTGTATAGATGTTTTACAAGCTATAACTTTCTGCGAATAGAAGTAATCGACGACTTCAAAGTTGCAGGTGCTAGGGCAAAGCAAGAGCTAGCAGAGCCTATCTACCAATTCCTTTCCGGCGCTCACGTCAATTGTAAAATTCTCATAACTCGTAAATAGGCATGCATACATGCGCTGAAGCAAGGTCAAAAAGTGGCTAATTTTTGTTCGGTAAAAAAAATCTCTCGGCAACGCAGACCCTATGGGCTCTTTCATGTTGCAAAATAATCTGTGAAAATTACTCTATCTCTTCATTGTTAAATAAGATGCTTACCAATTCTCATAAGGGAGCATTGCCATGTCAAAAAAGACAATTTTGAAGGAAAACGTAGTGAAGTTTTTAAGTTTTTGCTTCTTCCTTAACAAGGATTTTCGCAGGTTGTATTATGTATCTGATAGCCAAGGAACTGCCCAACACAGGGAAATTGACCTTGGAAAAAAGTTGACTTTGAAAGAAGTTATGACATTTTGAACTCAAAAAATTCAAATCGGACAGAACTTATGCAACGACCTAATATTTTCTAGAAATGAAGCATAACAGAACTTCTAAAACTACAATCATTGCATGACCCACCATGTGGGTCACATTGTCGTCAATGTGTTGATTCCTTAATTTAGAGTTCGTTTGAAGTAGGGTTCCTAATGTGAGCAAAGAAATAGTAGTTTTGTATTAAGCGCAAAAAGAAGTAGTTAACTTACCATTGAAACAAAGTAACATTTTTGAAAACGACCATCTCACTTAGGTGGTCCTGTATTTGGAAATTTCAGAATTCGCTGAAACTTGGACCACAGGGATTATTTTACTTGTTAATTACAAAGCATGCTTTTACGCTTTATAGATCTTTAATTATGCTTACTACGTATACATAATGGGTCAAACATCAATGTGCTGTATTTTGCATGACGGGTCTATTTGACATTGTTAACAAATATCATGTTATGCGAACAGCGGACGCCTTGATAACAACCTCTCCCCCCCTCCCTGATTTCTTAATACGACTTCCAGGTGTGGCATGCCACACTCTACGCTTGACCCTTTCATAACCCTTGTTAGGTAAGGCGATGAACGAGGGTCAATGTGATGCTGTATCTACGGTGGACCATATAGATATCCGGATATCTGATCTCGCGCAAAGATGCGAGGAGGTAATGAGAAAGGTCAAAGCCAGTTTGAAGGCAGTGCCCCGGCAGATCTTGCATTTCCATCTTTTCGCATGTTTTGGGCCTTTTTCGGCCGTAAACTTCGAATTTGAGCATGAAACGGGTTAAGAGCTTTTTTCGGGGCGTTTACCCAATTTCCAAAAGGCAGCTCGGAAAATTTCATCGGGAAATTGGGAGGCCCTGGCACGAAGACCCTGCCGCTTGTAATTTTTGCTTTGGAAAGCTACATAATGAGGGAAGCAGTCGTGGGTCCCGCGCCAATAGGTAAGCAAACCCGTCCGAGCGCCCGCCGATTGGGGTTGCGCGTGCCGGTTCCAAGGCTAATTTCTCGGCGCAGGGGAGGAGACACCAACCAGCCGGACTGCCTGGAGGATAGTGGGGTGAGACTAGGAACCCCACCACAGCTATTCCCAGGGCGAAAATCTGCCGGAACACTGCCTTTGAAAACTTAATTTCTAATTTTCGCCTACCTACCACTATGCCACTGCCAAAAATACATCTTAAACAGCGCGAAAACGGCTGAAACTGAGATTTGATAGAGCCCTTCGATTTTCATTTGGACGAGTGGCGCAATTTCCGCCCCGCTATGATGCATACTCGCTGTACGACCCTATTATCTTGACTTTAGCAACATGCGTATGCAAAACTCTGCAAAACTACTCTGGCTTGCAGTATGACCGCACGTGGGAGAGTCTTTCTCCCTAGAGATTAAGCTCCTAACTTCTGAAAAGAACTTCTCGCTTCTGGTCTAACGTTGTGAACTTCCACTTGTGCGAGGGAGTGCCCGACGATGTACTTTTACGCAAAGCTGACAGGTGGTTAAATTTAGGTAGGCGAAAATTAGAAATTGAATTTTTATTGCCAGAGTTCCGGCAGATCTGCGCCCTGGGAATAGCTGTGGTGGGATTCCTGGTCTCATTTCACTATTCACCAGGCTCTGTCCGGCTGGTTGGTGTCTCCACTGCGCCGAGAAGATAGCCCTGGAACCGGCACGGGCAACCCCAATCGGCGGGCGCTCGGACGGGTTTGCTTACCTGCTGGCGCGGGACCCACACCGCTTCCCCCATTATGCAGCTTTCCAAAGCAAAAATTACAAGCGGCAGGGTCTTCGTGCCGAGGCCCTCAACTTTCCAACAGATCGAGTACACGCTTCAAAAACGGTCTTTTCACCCAGTTTGAAGCCCAAATTGAGGTTCTACGTGTCGAAAAGGCTTAAGAAATGCAGGAAGGTGGAAATGCAAAATCTGCCGGGACAGTGCCTTTAAGCAAATAATGCCTTCATTGGCATTTTAGGCACCTATCTCCGCTACTATTTGGCGGACGATTTGCATAGTTTCGAATGCTTTTGCGAACTGACGTCACGAGGGCGGTGCCACGCGCAGCATCCTGCACGATGCAAGTCGTCCACCAAGTGCGATAGCGCGGGTGTGTTTGCAGATATGTTTATCTGTCATGGATGAATCATTTGCGCTGTTGTTTAGTTGATGCCTTAATCGGGTCTCCACAATATCATTTTCCATGTAACAACTCCACAGATGTGCTCCGGCGCAGCTTTTAAAGGTTTCGGAAAAATTTTAGCTTCTAAATGTATTTTCGCTTACCTGGGCATATTGGCTACGCTGAAAAAGAAATCTATCTTCAAAAATCTATCTTATAGTTAGAAGGCGCAAAAACGGCGAAAGCAGGCGTTCTTCGAAGAAGCTCTTCGATTTCAATATAATATGGAATTTTCGCTAAACTCCACTGATACAATGCAATGGGAGCGAGGTTCGAAGGTGAATCAAGCAGACAAAAGACAAAAATGGTGACGACCAGCCCCACGAATTTTCGCATCGGTCGTCTCCATCGATCTCATGAGCAAGCAGGAAATTAAAGTGCGAGTCATCACTGATCGAGGCATAGAAAAAAACCTGATGAACATCGAAGAGGAACTGTTTTCATTAACAGCAGAGGAGTCAACGATGCAGGAGTATGAATGATTACCAGATCCGCAGAAGCGGATGATGTGGCAACTCAAAGTATGGCTTTGATCGTGGAGGATTGACAAGTTCATCAAGTCAGCATCTGTGATGCTCCTGTCCTTTCTGAACATGGGTCGAAAATCTACTCAGGAATTCGCGCAACGCGAGCGGTCCCCCTATAAGGGCTAGCGTACAAGCGGTTGACATAAGCCTAAAGTTTCCGTGCGTGCGGCAAACAGCTGAAGCACCGTCCTAGCGGCAAGCAATGTTACCATGCGAAGCAATGGTAACATTGCTATAGCAATAATATAGCAATGTAACATAGCAATGTTACCATGTTACCAGGCCTGCAATACAATTGCTCGAGGAGCGGCCAGCAATGCGTCCGTCTTATCGGTCGGCAATACCTGTCGCCGTGCAAACGGCCAACTGTGACCTCTATCCTGCTCACGATTTTCACACGTTGTGAGCTTAAACGGTACCTGCGTAAGATACGACGCAGCGTTTAGGCTGAGTTGACATATCTAGTTACCAACAGTTCCTTCCCCAGCAAGGTTGGAATGAACCTGTGTGAGGCCACAGTTACCAAGAATGATGGCGTGAGCTTCCCCATGGAAAGTTTGGCCAATGCTACAAGCATCGTTCCATGTTTAAATTGTGAAAAGGATCAACAAATCAAGAAAAATGGTCAAGATATCCCATACAAACTTACTCCAACTGCAAGCGAGCTGCCGACCTTCCCCGCGCAAGCGGCGAGCATTAGGAACCGTGCGGGCGCCCCACGTTAACCGTGCCAACGGCCCTTGACAACCGTACAATCGCAGACACCAACGAGCGATTGTAGGGTCGTCGCTGGCCGCCCGCACGGCGCGAGTCCCTGAGTATGTCAACAATCTGCCTCCGATTTCCCATATTAAATTCCCACATTCGGCTGAGTAATAATTGAGAACCCTCATTGATCGCGTTCACGATCAGGATGTGAGCTTCAACATCGACAGTCCTCATTGCGATCCTAAACATCACACGAGGAAGAAAGGGTTTAGGGCTTTTTAAATGGACACGGAGAGGTTTTATAGAGAAAATATAGTTCCACAAGAACATCGCCAGTAACATGCAAATATCGGAGCCTGCAGAGCTTCAAATCGAGAATCATGGACCAACTAGAATGAACTGGGGAAAATGTTCATGACTTTGAGGACCTTCCAAAACAACATTAGTAGCCCATTTCTCCACGCTGGATCTGGCCCGATGGAGATTACCATATGGAATTGACCACCTTTTTCGACGAAGTATAGGCTGACGAACGTCGCTGTTTCTTCGAAGTTCTTCACAGGTTCGGACCACCGCCTTCGCACAAAATTTTACTTTTTACAGAACAGAGGGTCGCTAAATCCAGGGAGTTGTACGGCATTTGAAACCTGTTTTCTTCGATGTCCATTTTTAGCGAGACAACGTCATTGACAACATGAACAAAAATAAGAACTGTTCATCAACCTCACGACTGTTTATACGCTGGGGAGCAGCTACTAATTCATGGCGCATTGTCGAAACATTCCTGTCAGTATACTGTAATGCGAGATGAACCGATTTTCGTAATCTTCTTTGCTGCTGTACGAATGAATAGGCGCACATACATCTACTATGAAATAGATCTTTTCAGAAGTTTTCTCGAGGTTTTAAATTAGAACAACTCGGCGCTACAGTTAGTGCCTGATACTAAAACATTTATTATACATGCTGACAAGGCTGCGTAATCGGGAACCGAGGGTACTTCACGCCAGCTAGTCAGTCCACAAAAAGTTCAGTAGGAATATAGTTAGATAGACGGAGTGTTCAAATACGACATTCCTGGACGATGCTCCTGAAACAGCAACCTAATGGTAGTCCCCAGCTGAGTTATTACTTACTGCAAGAATCGATCTTTGACAGAAACTTCACAACAAAAGGCTCGTTCGCATCGTGATGTTCTATGCAAAGTTTCGGGTTATCCTTGATTCGCATTGCATTGTTCATATCATCGACATTGATGTTGATAGTATATAGTGCTTTCAAATCAGTAAGGTTTTTGTTGTTCTCTATCACCAATACCGGCATGCCGGGCTTCTGCGAAAGTTGTCGAAGATTAGGCAAAAGCGGAAATTCTTTTTCGTTGCTATCTCGAAGAGACAGAGCTCCGTAAACCACTTCAATTTGATCGAAAGAGCTGTCGTAAGTTCTGAGATCAACGCTGTCAAAAACGAAGCGACATCCTTCCGGTAGCGGGCGATGAAATGTGCATGCTGTAAAGATAGATTTTTCGAAAGCTATAAAACCTCACGCTAATTATTACTATATGGTTTTTGGATGTTCGCAATAGTGTTAGTGGGACATCTCTTTTTCTTGCACTGCTCTAGAAGCTGAGTAGTATCCAATTTCGGATTGTTCAAAACCTTTATGTTTATTTTTCTTCCGTCAACTATATTGAATTCAGGCAGCTTTTGCAAGAGAGGATTGTCGAGCAGTTCAAGCGTTGCTTCTAAATTATTTGCTAATTAGCATTCGTTGAGTTGTTGATGTCAAAATACTAACTTTGTGGCAACATCACAACTTCTGTTTCAGTTAAACTAGTTAATGTTGTATTGAACAACTTCAGTTTAAAGATTGTAGTTACCGTTTTTATTTTCTGAAAAGCGGCATACTCAAACAACCCAATTACGTTAATTAAAGAGTGCTTACATCAAATAGCCGTGGATGCTCCATGATTTTCTCATTATCCGTGTACATTCGCAGATATTTGCACTGTCCCTGCTTCTCAAGGTCCTTTACTGATTTGATGTCACACATCGTGGAGCCTGTCTGACCAGGTTCGTCTGTAAATCAAGGCAAGCGATTGATGGGTAGTGAATATGCCGATTTAGAGAGACGTACATCCCACTGAAAGCAAGAGAACCACAAGCGACCACATTTGAGATAGTCGTAGAAAACTGAAGAACCTACTGCAAATGTTTACTTATATATGATTTGTAGGAATGTTTTTGTGTTCAGAATCATTACGGCAGAGATTCAGTGCTGAGCGGTCCGTTTATCTCTGAATACCACATTTGCTAAGTTTTTTATCCAATAGAGGGAGAACCGCACATCGTAGCTTCGCCTTTAATCTCCCCTCAAAATTTTTTCCAACTGAATGATTATCAAGTACTTTTAAGGCAGTGGCTCGGCAAATCTCAACTAGTGAAGTTTTCCCTTACCTGGGGTTATTCAATACGCTGATTCTGAAAATGCACTTTTGAGAGCTTAAAAACGGCGAAAACGAGCGTTTCTAATGCCCTTCCCTTTGATATTGGACGAGTGGAGCAAGGCTGATGACGTTAAATCGTTGCAGGACCCAATGGTTATAGCATTGCAGCGGGCAGCCTCCAATGGTGAAATGAATTTGCCAACTCGTCCGGATGCGTGTAAGATTAGTTTGCGCGTGTAAGTTTGAGAGCAATTTTCTCGGCAGGGAAGGCATGCTGTGCAACCGGGATTGCACTGTTTTCAAACTTGGGCGATAAGGAACCACCGCGTTGAATTACGAGTTCTTGAGTTTTGCCGACCCATTGCCTTAAAGAGGTTGCAAATAATTCGAAGTAAGTGAAGCAGGTCTACATCGCGTGTTAAACTACCAACTTTTTTTTAAAGGAATTCTAGAACAAATTTTAAGCACAATTACCAGCATCTTTTTTTGAGGTGCTAGAATAAAGCTTTTCAAAAGTGTTCTTGTGTTTGAAGAGGCACGCCAACAGCATTGCAAAATTGCATAGATCACAGGATAAGTGTAGCTATCGGGAAAAGGTAGCAAGTGGGAAGCTGAATCGAGTTATAGCTAAGTGCCGCATGCATTAACATTCCTACTGGGGAGTTGAATACAGCCCGAAGTAATGCTTCATATTCAGAAGCTCTGGATAACTGATTTCTCGCTGTCTACCATCTGTGTTTCTACTGCACTTTACTGTAAACATATTGAATAGGAGCGAAAAGTTGTACAAGCCGTTTTCCATGTTTTTGTATGACCCCTGTGGCCGTATTCATCATCGAACCCCGAGGGTTAAACTAACCCTGGAGGGTTAGTTTAACCCTGGAAAGCGTTTAACCCGTATTCATGAAGCACAGGGTAGGCTTAACCCTGAGGGTTAAATCTAACCTTGAGGGTTAATTTTACCCCGAAAGCGACTAACCCGTATTCATGAACGAACCGTGAGGGTTAAAGTAACCCTGGAGGGTTAAACTTACGTGATTCAACAGCGTTAATTTAACCCTAGCTCAGAGCAAGGTTAACTCTACCCTAACACATACAAACATTTACTCGCATCTAATAGTTTTATGGAAAACTATCAACGAGTGTTGTAGTATTTAGTGCTAGTTGTTGTTATAGTACCTGGTTTCGACTTCGTTTTATGTTCAAATTCGAATATGAAACACTGACTTTGCGAGAAAAAGATTTCTAGCTTTGGTGACAAATGAATGCAACGAGGAAAAATGGTTGCGCATTCCACTCTGACAAGTGCCAAAACAGAAGAATTCCTTTATGATAGCACGCATTGACCCTCAAAAAAGTAGCACAAGCCCGGTATAAAACGAACTGCGCAAAAGTAGAACTTACACGGCACAATTGCACACGTGAAAATAAACTCACGCTGTAAGATTGGATGCTGTACAAATATGCTAGAGATTTATTATAAAAACTAGTGTTAGAAGCTTAGTTGTTGATTATACTACTATAACAGTGAAAGAATAGAAATATAAGTGCGTCTAGCACGTACTTAGGCATTCTGTGATGTGAGTTTGCACAGCGCACGCGAGCTGACGCCTTAACCCTCCAGGGTTGATTTAATTTAACCCTCAGGGTTCGCAATACGGCCACAGGTTCGTTGATCGATACGGATGGATTGCGTTTCGTGGTAAACCCTACCCTATGTTGATGAATACGGCCAATGAACCCTGAGGGTTAAACTTATCCTCCAGGGTTAAACTTACCCTTAGGGTTCGTTGATGAATACGGCCACTGGTGATCTCCGACGGGCAAACGTCTTTTCTTCAAAGTTAATTTTCTCCTTCAGACTCATTAACATCCCAGAGATTTACGGTTAATCTAACCCAACAGTCGAGTAGGATTTAATAATTGTTATCTATGTTGCAACAAATTTGTCTGTTTCTATTTGATTCGATTTAATTATGGAACTTACAAGAGTTTCAGGCCCGACCTCTTTAGTCCGAGCTCTGAATCTCTTGTAAATCTCAAGATTTAAGCAAATCAGATGTCAAAACGGACAATTTATTGCAAAACAAGGAGCATTAAATCATTTGATGGCTAGTGATTATAGTATTCGATTTGCTAACGTTTTCGGCCACCTGATCGATCGCGTTTTTGGGTTACGACTTGTACGAGAACACTTGTACGAAGCGAGGTTGATAGCTACCGCTCCAGAACTCAGACCAGCCATTCCAGATAAGCCGTATATCGCTGGACTCGCCTTGCAACGCTGATCTTAAATATAAGTTTACCGTGCGTCACCTTTGCTACGCAGAGGCTCGCACTGGTTCTACTCTCCACATGCCTTCCTCGTAATCGCAAAATGATGGCTTTTAATCTTATGCCGATCATCACGAATGAACTCTAGGCGACTGCTCATTCCAAAAACTTTTTCATGTAAAGATCACTGGAGGGGGGGACGAAAGTTTTCTCCAAAAGATTAAATGCGAGTTTGAATCAGTTATAGGCCGTCCGCGCAGAGCGCGGACAGTGCGCAAGGTGTGCACTGCGCGTCACTCCTCTTTCCCCGTGCACTCTCGCCGCATGTTTTTCTCTGCGCCCGTACTATCTTCACTGTACGCGACAGCGTTACTCTCCGAGCACAGCGCGGACGGCCTATACTGGAGTTATAATGGCTTGTCAGTCACCATAAGAACGATGACAACTGTGAAGTACACTCCTAAAAAAAATCTTCTCCAATTCTTGGATAAAACGATGACAAAATGGTTATTCTTCAGTTATTCTTTTTGGCCTCAATATTGCGTGAAAGTAGACTTTTTGTTTACTTTTCGGACGGAGTGCATGGTGCGATTTACTTGTCAAACAATCTACGACTTCGGAAAAAGTCTAATTACAGGCCCAGTTTGGTGCACCAAAAGTTGCGTGGATTCGTTTGGCGCAAAGCTTTCACAGGTTCTACTTATCGGATCGTTGTGCTTTTGCACATTGTCTGCATGCTGGTAAGGTGCTGAGACCAGAATTCTAGCTTAAAGCCTTTACTGGAACTCGCTCCAAGAATTTCGTGACAGACAGACATGCACACAGGCACACAGACAAATAGGTAAAACCGTTAGCCCAATATTATTAAGTTATAGATCATCTGCCAAACACTATCTGGAAGGAGTTATGAGCGTTTAAATAAGAGGACGTTTTAGACTCTCAACGAACATAGGTTGCTGGCAGACAGCCTGACGGTTACAGTGTGTCATGAAACGACTTACGATACACAAGGAATTACTGCACGATATACAAGTAATTATTGAGCTAAACTCCTGTTTTGTGGTCGTATTTATCATAGAAAGTATGCTTAACGCACCTGTTCCACAGCGCCAAGGAAAATGATAACCGAAATACTCCAAGGAATCGTCGAGCGCAGTGAGAAGCTGCTTTATCATTTCTCTTAATAATTTGCATTTCTTTTTCATATCTTTTCATAACCTCCATCATCAAGATATATAAGCTTGCAGTATGGTAGAATCATATTTTCTGACTTCGAGTTTGATCAGTTTTTTTATTCCTTTTCCCACTAGTTTCAAGCGATCATAAAACAAGTATAAGAAACATGTATCGAGTAGGAAAAAGACAACAATTATCGTGGCAGTTCTGATTGGCACACATATTTTTTTACCATTTATTCCTGTCATTATCATTTTGGCATTGACACTCATTCGTTATGTAGTTCTAGTTACATGTTTTATATCTTTGTTTTATGTTTATTTTGCTGCGTTTCTTTTATGTTTTTTGAAGCAAATGCGGTTCAATTACCCAAGTTCGAGTTAAGGTACACTACACCACATACAAGCCCGCGTGACAACTATCAAGTATCGTCGTTTCCCCGAGATAGATGGGGCGTGTCGCTGCACAAGTCCGCAAGTGTACGTAGTTGATACGGTATTAGCCGCGGCGCATAATCGATAGCGCCGAACAGCTGATGATTTTCCGACGCTACAGCGATCGGTGGGTTTTCAATGCTGAATCATGCCTTTTTTTCAGATTTCGATGCATGTTGCTAGAGGTGAGTCGTGAGTGTTCATTTACACTTATTTCACATTATTTTCTCAGTTTTGGCGTATTGTTGGTGTGTATATTGAACTTTGCGTGCATAATGCATAAAGCGTGCTTTCACTTCTTTTTTTACTTGTTTGTTGTGTTTAGTAAATTTCCTTTCAATAATTCATCGTTTATCACTTCATTGTGCTTACCTGTGTTTCCTGTTCATGTTGTTTTGTTCAGGTTCCAGGTTTATGATCGGAGGTGAGTCTCACCTCCGCTGGTGTATCTGAGATCAGCGTTTTGAGCTCTATCTATTGGTATAGATCATCTTCCGAATCCCACTTCGACTAACAAGGGAAGTTCACTTAGTCGAAATGGCGGTTCGGAAAAAGATCTATACCAATGGATAGAGCTCAAAAAGCTGATCTCAAGTATATCTTCTATATCTGCGATGCTTTGTTCTTAAAAAAATTATGAGCTTTTCTAAAGCCAAATTTTAGTGCATTTTGAGTCGCAAAATCAAGATATTTTCTACAAAAAAGTGTGCAAGCTTAAGCAAACCACCTAGTAAGCATTGCAGGTCTAATTCGAGTTCATCCAAACGCTTTCGAGTGTTTTTCGACCATGTTGTTCATCCACAGGTCGTCATTTCATCCTTAAATCACACTTCCATTATGTGTACAAGCCCCATAACCTCCGTTTAGAAAAACGCGTAGCGTCGGACACTTTATGGAAACTACCAATGGATAGGACGTAAAACGATGTTCTCAAATATATCTTCAATATCTGCGACGCGTTCTTCTAGACGGAGGTTATAGGCTTTTTTGTATATACAGGGTGCGGCAAAAGTCTGGGAGCCTAATTTTGCAGTACTGCAATTACAAAGATACTGATGGTTTTGATTTCAATTTTATGCCACATGATGCTGCGGTCATCCTCTACAGAATACACTTTATTTGGCTGGAAATGGCTGCCATATGTTTTTGTAAGAATGGAAATTACCAAACTAGTATTTTTGCAAAGCGAAAAAACCAGAATTTTTGGTATTTACAATTTTTGCTGAAACTAGAGATGCTGTAAATATTTTACAAAACTTCGATGCACATAACATAAAAGAGGCTTTGTGCTATTGTATCCTAGTTCTGCTTTTGCCAGTGGCTGTTCTTGCATGAACGGAAAATAAAAGTTTGGGAATGTTACCTACGTGCCAGTGGAACTCCGTCTTCAGAACAAATTTAAAGGCTAGAGAATGCTCAACAGGCACTGGGACCAAGGTGTATTTTTTGCATACGTCTTCTAAATTAGAATCTATTGAAATTCGGCCATGAGAACACTTTTTATACTTTTTAAACGATATTTTCAAGCTTTTATTAGCGCAAGTGTAGCCAAAATTCCGGTATGCGAAGTACACATGCTTCTAATTGAAAATCCAATATTTTTATTCCTAAGCAATGCAAAAAATTTTTTTTGAAGTATGTTGTAGATAAAAGTTTGCTCTATCACGCTGCGCATTTGCCGATGTAAAAGAAGCAGTTATTGTGAAGGCGTGAGGCGAATTCCATTACGACTACCTGCGTGCCATGACAGGTGGACTTGCCAAGATTTTGTAGGACTGCGTGGAAGCCAAAAGAGGCAGTTTTGCAATTCAAGAACTGGGCTGGCTGCAATGGTTCGAATTATATGTGCGCCAGATTTTTCTTTTCTAGGTACTTCCCTTCTCGTTTTGTACGAAAAAGTATCAAGCTCCCAGACTTTTGCCGCACCCTGTATAATGGAAGTATGATCTAGGAAGGAAATGACGACCTGTGGATAAACAGCATGGTCGAAAAACACTCGAAAACGTTCGGATGAACTCGAATTAGACCTACAATGCTTATTAGGTGGTTTGCTTAAGCTTGCACACTTTTGTGTTGCGATTATCATGATTTTGCGACATAAAATGCACGAAAATTTGGCTTTAGAAAAGCTCATAACTTTTTTCAGAACATTGCGTCGCAGATATAAAAGCTATATCTGAGATCAGCGTAATAAGCTCTATCCATTGGAATAGATCTCCTTCGGAATCGCCACTCTGACTAAGTGAACTTCCCTTGTTAGGTGTGTGGCTGTGGCGTACCCAGGATTTCGGCTCGGAGGGGGGGGGGGGAACAAAAAAATTTTCAATGAAGGTGCGTGGCGTCAGCCACGCACTCCGAAAAATTTTTTGGGATGTTTCCCAGAATTTTTCCAGGCCACTGACCCCGAAATTTCAGAAAAAGGGGGCAAGGCTAATTTGAATTTTTAAAAATTATTTTAACTATTTATAAGTGTAAACGAGTCCTCTGCACATTTTTATAACACATTTAAGTAACTTTTAAAAATTCCCCCCTTCGCCCTTCCCCCTCGGTACGCCGCTGGTGTGTGGGTGTGTTGGGTGTGGGATTAGGTGTGTGGTTATGAGTGTGGGTATGGGTTTACGGTAGGCGCGGTAAGGGTATGGGTATGTCTATATGTATGGGAACAAACAACTCGCTTGCACATTTTTATAATCCATGTAAGTAAATTTTAATATCCCATTCTCGGAGGGGGGAGAGGGAGAGGGGGTTGGAGGGAGCCCTCGGACTGCCAGCGGTATGAATATGTGTATGGGTATGGGTATGTTTATGGTTATGGACATGGGTGGATAGGGATTAAAAAATTGTAAAAAACTGTATTAATTTTTTGTAGAAATTGTAATGTAGGTGAGAAAATGTACTAAGTCGGGACGACAAGCTCTTGCGCAGATTTTCAAAAATTCATAACTTCTGATTTTTGGAACCGATTTGACTGCTTTTATTTTGCGAAAGAGTAAGTCATATTCTTTATAATGACATCTTAGTTGCTTGCTAATGATCATCTATTGCATAGATAGGAGCGATAGAAGAAAATTGGTCAAATTTTGAATTTTCTGTGTAGGGTCATAAAAAATCGGAAACTTGCAACAAAAATCGGTGCAGTCGGTACTGTAGGTTCTTGCTCTTTCTGACAGTGTCTCTATAAAATGTTATGATTTTCGAGCAAGCAATATAAAAGGAAATTGATTTATTTTGGCATTTTTCAGAATAATCGTAACTTTTCATAGAGACGCTAAATCGGCGCAAACTTTGCACTGTAAAAAAGAGGTGGTGAAAGAAGCTACAATACCGACTGCTCCTATTTTTATTGCAAGTTTCCGATTTTTTATGACCCACAAAGAATTCAATTGACCAATTTTCTTCTATCGCTCCTATCTATGCAACAGATGACCGCTAGTAAGCAGCTGATTGTAAGATGTCATTATAAAGAGCATAACTTACGTAAGATGCCCTTACAAACTCATAACTTACCCTTTTATACAAAAATAAATGCAATCAAATCGGTTGGAAAAATTAGAAGTTATAAAGTTTTGAAAATCGTGCGTAAGAACTTTCGGGACGACCTAACATATGTGCGAGAATGTTTATGTTATGAAGCAATCATGTGAATACGCATTGACTAATGTGTCAACGCTCTTCTGAAACGCCCTACCCTTTACTTTTATTTTCGGGACTTTTTCACTGGACGATGTATAGCGGATGGACCATTGCGACGTATAGGAAATTGTTGTGTTTAGTACTGATCAGTGTTCCTCATAGTGATCTGCCTCGCGTAGTCGATCGCAACCTCAGTCTCCCGCCAGAGTGCCGAAGCCATGCCAGCGCTACGCCAGCGCTGAGGCAGCGTTTCGATCGATACGCGTGTATTTCGTTCGGGGCATCTACCTGCTGAGAACTAGGTCAGCTAGCCCCGCCCCAACGAAATACACGTGTATCGATCGAAACGCTGGCTCGGCGCTGGCGTAGCGCTGGCATGGCTTCGGCACTCTGGCGGGAGCCTCAGGGTGCGCGGGAAATGAGCGCTATAAAAGGCGCTCACTCATAGCCTCAGTTAGTTTAGTTGTTCACTCATTAGCCTCTCAAATTTACTGTTCATATTTAGTGCTCTATTATTCTTTGATAAATATTTCTTATGCTCCTGTGCCGTCCAGACGAAGAGCGTCCGAAGCTTGGAGGACACAACAAAAATCATCATTTCAAAAGGATGGTTTTGTGAAGTACACAACTGATATTTTGTTTGTTTGCCTCATTTTGGGATACTGTGAGTGGATAGACAAGGTTGGTCAAGCAGTAAAGATGGCTGAGTATTCGATATTCTCTAAGTATCAAGTCTGGTTCCCCACACCTTTTCAGGTCTTTTGCGCAATATTGCTAATAATACAATATTTGCCTAGGACTGAGTCTGAAAAAGGTCCAGTTCTTTTTGTCATTCTTTCTTATTTGTATATAATGAATCGAAACCTTGCAGAATTACTCTATTTCAAGTTTTCTGAGGTTCTTGCTCAGGTTGTTCATTACATGTTTTGGCTACGATGCTCAAAGTTGTTTCTTAACGTCTTCGATGTTTTTAACAAAAAATTAAGCTTTTCTGCCAATCGAAAACCTGCTCTGGCAAGTCAAGATTTTTGAAACCTACTGTCTCGAATCAAACGTTTAGAAATTTTTTAAATGTAATCTTTCTTGATTGCGGGACTTAAAAGTGTATGTAAAATTTTTTCTGGTGCAATTCAAAAGATGCCGTTAAAAGGGAAATTTGTAGAATAACTAGCTTTTGAGAATGATTAAATCCATGATATTGTTTGGTTATTATAAGTCCCTGCATTCTTTTAAAGTAACAAAACAATATTGACTGTATAATAATTTCACTAAAGTGTGTTTGTTATCTACTTTCCTCTATTGGTCCACAATGAATCACATGATATAGTCGCGCGATATTGGACTATTTTCTTAGTCTTCACAAGAAGAACCTGTGTTTTCAGAAGAATTAACACCGCATCTTCAAAATTGCAAAAATTCCCAAAAGTTACACATCAAGTAGGACTGGATCTTTATAGCGTCAATAAGACTAAATATAAAAAACATTTTCTACTTTAGAGCTTCCTTTTTGAAAAATCTTCAATTTTCTCAGCCTCGAGTTACTTGAAAGGTGTAAAATTTGATTCTGAAATTCCAAATCTTCAGAATCCATTATTTTTTGAATATGTAAACGAAGTTGTAAGAGGATACACTTTGGCTACCATTGAGTTATTATATCGCCCAATAAATTTTCACATTGTTTGGCTATAAAAATACAGCAGTATTTTGTTATTTCAGCATGGTTTTTTGACTAAGTGCGTGCCTTGATGTGTAGTGTCACTTCTTATGAAATGAAGGCTGTATACCATTACTATTTTAATCAAAATTGCGCATGCTAAGCGTGTGATCGGTGCCATTTCGTACCACTTTATGTTAGCAATTTATCAAAATTTTTAGTATGGCCGAGAAAAGAGAGCTATCAGGATTCTGTCAATACGAAAGTGTTACTTTTATGGTCGGGTAGGGGTAGAGAACTCTTGCAAAAAGCCGTCGATAGAATCCTGAATGAATTCACAGTAAATGTTTTAAAGTGAGTGAACTATAATAATAACTTCATTGGATTAGTGATCTATTGATAACAGTAAATAGTGACAATTTTAAAATACCCAGCGGAAAAGCCTTTGGCCTTTACCTGGCCGACTTCAGCAGGGAAATAACAAAATTCGAGCAGTGAGACTAATTTATTAATCTTTATTCTTATTTATATTTTTATTTTCTAATCTAATTTGATAACTTTTGGTTTAGGCCAAAGTATCGCTCGAATTCTGGAAATACTTCATCAATGCGGGCAGAAATTACAAACAAAACAACAAAGATGTGCGTATTTCCCGAGAGCAAGCATTGAAAGTCTCGGAAACGGAAGAGCAAGGGGTATTTGGTTTTATCTGATTTTTGTAACCATTAACCAAGGTATTGATTTTGATGTTCACAGCCTATATATCAGGAAATCTATTAAGTCTAAGCGCAAACGTCCAGAGATAACATCCGAAAAAGGAGTATACATTGGTAAAGGTATGATAGATTCAACTATTTTATTAGAAACATTTTTGATACTCTGCTGACCTCAGTCTTTGACCTCTCATATAGCGGCCATCAAGTTCAGTATAAATATGTCTGCATGGATCGTACCCTTAGAAGATTTACTATGCCCAACAGAAAATAATCCACGGAGGTAATCCTGGATAATGAGTATGAGTTGTAAAGTGTGATCAAGACAAAGAATAAAAAATGCATACCACAAGTCGGAAAAGTTGGAATTTATCGAAAACCCAATATTTTGACGACTCATTTGTTTCTAAGACATGCTTAGCACTGCTGGGATAGAGTATCACTGAAGTTTGGAATGTTTTCGTTTTGTTCGGAAAGAAAAATGATTTGAAGAAAAGACGGTTGGCCGCTGGATATCATTAGGAGATTGCACAAAAACTAGAAAATGCGGACTGTACACTTCTCGCTGCTGTTGAACATGGAGTAAAGAGTAGTAGAAGCACTTGAAGATGAATATACAACAAGAAATCGGGATGTCCAAAGCTTCAGATTATGTAGCTTTCTTTGAAGCTGCGATCCCTTCCCCAGTGGAGATGTAAATGTTGCAGCCTCAAGTCGCTTGTGGGTCGCCGCTCTTCAGGGTTTGCGACGACCAACATTTCTTATTCATTTCTCTACGACTTGAACCGTATTTGAGCTCAAAGTCACAAAAAAAAACAACAACAACAACAGCTCTGCAATTTGCGAAAACTGTCTGGAGCACATATCTATGAATTCAAGATTGTTCTCAAATTCGCTTGGGGTGTGTTGTATCTCTAAACTGTCATATCTTACTCTTGATTCATTTGAGTTCCTCTGTACTTTTGAGCTCCCTCTCAGATATAAATAGAATGCTCATGCATTAAGATGGTGAGATAAGTATTTTTTTACTGTGAAATGCCGATGTAAGTTTATGTTTATTCGACTTTCATGATGTTTCTTGGATTCAGGTATAATTGGCCCAAAGCGCTACATCTAAATTATCTGTAACCAATGCGTCACCTCCTCTTCGCGGAGGTTTGCAATGGCCCTCCTATCCGTATGCCTTTCTCATATTCGCATAATGTAACTTTGTAACTCACCATGCATTGTTGAACATCACAAATGAATCGTAAACAACTGTTCATTTTTGAAGCATCTCTCGGTAAATTTGAGAAAAAACTTTTTTGCAAAGGAACACCTGCGAAGTTGAATGGATTACTGAATTTGTTTTGGCTTGGTAGTCGTCATAGGAATAAAAGTCACTTTGAACTACATTTCTTTGCAAAAATCTTTCTAAATTTTCAATGTTAAACCTTGCCAAATCGACTATCTACGCGATCACCACGGCGCTTTTCACAGAAAAGCAAATTTTTTGAGCACTTTCTAGGCTAGAATTCATGAGGTACGGATTTACTTGCGAGGCAGATCATGGCTTTACAGAAGTTGAATTAGCGACCTAGTTTTGCGTGCCAAAAGCCGCATGGACCCGTTTTTGACGCGCAGATTTTGAAGGACCCACTTATCGAATGGGCTCGACCTTGTGCATGGTGATCATACATGCTGGTGCGGTATGTTATACAAAATTGTAGCTCCGTAGCTTGGCTCGGGCTCCCCCATGAATTTTGTGGCACAGACATGTTTATACGCACAAAAAGAGACGCTTACAATTAGCGCTTTATTATAAGTCATGATTACCGCATCATTATGCCCAATGCTCTTTTCATCTTACAAAAGAAGGATACTTGGTCACCGCAGCCATTCATAATGTATACCACAAATGCGCTTTATAATGCTGGTTCGAATATTATCTTCCATATTGCGAAATGATAATCTGGATGGAGTTAAGATTATTTTTCCATGAATAAACTGCGTTACTGCGGAGGGTCAAAATCATCTATAAAAAATTTTCTTTCCTTTTCAAATGCTGAATATGATTTAGATAGGTATAATACAACAGTGCTTTTCTTGAGATTCTCTTCAACAGCTTCAAATGGAAACTTAGAACAAATTTGGTGATAAACTACACAAAAATACGCAAATTTTCTACGAAAAAAAGTTCATAACTTCCTTCAGAAGAGCGTTTCGCAGATATCAAGCACAGATTTGGAATCAGCGTTTCGAGATGCATCTTACAGCATACATCGCATTCCAAATGGCCACGGTGACCGAGTATCTTTTCCTTGTTAGATTAGACCCAGTTTTTCAACGCCACATCGTTGCTACTTGCGGTTGGACACAGAGGAAGGGGGACAGTAGGCAGTATAATGAAAAACCAGGTATGTGCGATTCAACCGATCGCCTGAGCACTACCTCACATATCGCTCGAAAGTGTATACAGTTATGTAACACCATAATGTAACACCACACCTCTTTTATTTTTAGCAGAGTTTGTAACGTGGCGTTTGATCAAGCTATCATATCTGTCAATGCTTGCCCATGATAATGCGCTTATTTACTTTTGCCTACCCTTGGCAGCTCTGGCCCACTTGTACATGGGCACAAAAGTAGACAATAATTCATTTAGCTAGGGTGTATCATGATGCATTTATGTATCATATGTGCAATCAACATAAATAAATATACTATAGTGAGTATAGTAACGATCATCTCTATACTCAACTTGAGCTCCACACCGAACAAGTGAGAAAGAAAAACATCACAAGAATCCAAGAGATAAGTATGGAGTAACCGAAGACAAAGTATATTGTTAGAGAACATTCAGAAGTAAGACTTTCGGAAAAACCATAGAAGTATAGCAGCTGTGAGCCTCGAATTCTGGAACATTGTGATATAGTGTAGATTGGTACCTAGAAACGCCAAGCATTTTCAGATACATATCAAAGCTACATCTGTGCAAGGAAATTAACAAGAAACATACGCCTTTGATCCTCTTTGCTAAAACCTCTTTTCGCTCGCAGCCTATCAACAGCTCAGAACTGTTCAAAGTTGTGCACGATGCTGATTCTAAGATACTGCGTCCTTAAATAGCAATTCTGATAAAGTTTAGTTGCGGAGGTAATTCGGAAAAAACGGGAATTTTACAATTTTGAATCTTGCGAATTTGAGATGGGACAGAAGGAGTTTGTACATGGGTAAATGAGCCATGCTATTAGGTTGTCCCATAAGTCTTTTCATATGCGAGTTTACACTGACATAAGTCAGTTCTTCTTATATTCCTAATAATTTGCAGGGCATCATTCGATGGCAAAGCATCTACAAAATAACATCGAGAATTCGCACCAAGCTTGATTCGCTTCAAGTTTCAAGTCAAAATGGAAAAACTCAAAATTTCGAAAAACCAAAAAATCATATCTCAGTTCAAAACATTCCTGCAAACTTCCTAATCGCTAAGTATATACTCTCTTTGCCAGGTACTTTATACACACATTTGCTGCAATTTTCTGATGTCTAGAAATCAAGAAAAAAATAGTGCGATGAATATTCAGACTTTCCCCTAGCGATTCTGTGTTCCAAAGCGGTTATTAGCTTACTCACGCAGAAATGCTGCTTCAAATTTGCGACTTGTAGGTGCCCTAGCTTTTACGAAATATCAATTGAAGGTTCGACTATGAAAAGACTTGTGGGACAACCAAATATTATATTTACAAGTAACATCGAAACAGAAATATACCATTGTTTTTTCTAATGTTATCGAATTTTTTGGAAATTCTAAGGTGGAGTTGGGAGCTTACATGAAATAAGTGAGCTATAGATTCGGTCAAAAGCAGGGAACTAGCGCATGTTAGGTTAGTATATCAGCCTCGCACGAAAACATTTGAAAAATTCACAATTATTTCAACTTCGATGAAATATATCATTTTGATACATATTAGATAGAGTGAATCTGCTTAAAATTGCTTAAAGAAAAACATGCCAGCTAGCTTTTCGTAGACTGAAAGAATATGGAATGTTTCTTCTTTCACCTAAGTTGAGATGATATAGTAAAAAAGCACAGCAGATGTTACCGGCTACCAGTGGCGTACCCAGGATTTCGGCTCGGGGGGGGGCGACAAAACTCCAAAGATTTTTTTGGGATGTTTTCCAAAATTTTTCCGGGCCACTGACCCCAAAATTTCAGAAAAAGGGGGCGTGACGGCAGGCACGCCCCAAAAAAATTTTTTTACAAGGCTAATTTGAATTTTACAAATTTTTAAAAATTATTTTAATTATTTACAAGTGTAAACAAGTCCTCTGCACATTTTTATAACTCATTTAAGCAACTTCTAAAAATTTCGCGACTTATTCTCGGGGGGGGGGGAGGCGCCCCCCCCGCCCCCCCCCCGCCCCCCTCGGTACACCACTGTCGGCTACATATGCTTTTGGTCTCGCTAAACTTTAAGAAGATTTCTAAATGCACTACCAACCTAGAAAGTCCGCCTCCAAAAAAGCTTGTGAAGTCCATCTGTGCGGCGATATAGGCAAGACCATGGAATTTAAAGAAGCTGGATGCGAGACCAGCCCGGAAGTAAGATAAGAGATTGTGAGAAGTAGCACTGAAAATTATTAACTTGGTTCCACTTACGAGCATGCAATACTACCTGTTGTGACAAAAGCCACCGTAGCACTGTCGAATAAAAACGAAAATGCCTGTGTGATAAAGCGCCATAAATAGAGATGGGTGAAAATAATGCAGAGCAATGAGGCCATCCAAAGACACTGCTGTGTGTTGGACATATTGAATTCTTGAATATTCGTTTCAGCAACTTTTTTAGCAACTTGATATACACATACCTATCAGCAAAAGAAATGGGACGGTATACAAAGTCGAGGTCAGCATTATGGTCGGAAAGTCACAAAAAAGCTGTAAGGACTTCTATCAAATTGTTGAGGATAAGCAATGAACTGCAAACCTTGTATATAAGGAATATTATTGTAGATAACTGTGTTTCTCTGAGGAAGTTTCGAATGTCTTGCTTCTCGTAAGCAACTACAACGGGATTCATAAACTACTGACTTGACCATATTAATAAAACATCACCCTTCTGTATAACAGCGTATATCCATGGAATCAGTCCAAAATACAGGACCGCTACAGTGAAGCCGACTCTATCGCTTGCTCCCACTCGTTTTTCTTTAGTGAGCGAATTGAAAGAAAAGCTGATAATGAGTGACACGATCAACGCTGTGAAGGGTTCCCATAACGACAGAATTGGAGCATTGATGAACTTATAGTAGCTTTGCCTAGAAAATTCTTGCATATTTGGTCGCTCTTATTTCAGAGTGACTTACCTGTAAAGCGCTATCAGTGTTTTTAGCACCGAAGGTCTGCAGAGACTGGCATTTACTGGTAGATCTGAGTTTGTCGAACGCGGTGAACATGATTTGTTCTGCTCCCAAAGCTGTACCAGTTTGCATATGCGTGCCAATGATTCTTCAGAAGCGGCTTGCGAAAGGTGGTCATGTGTAACCACATCCACTAATTTGGAATGAGTTCAAAGCAAAATCACGATGAGAAAGCTCAACTTTCAATGGATGCCAGTATGATAGAGAATTAAGCTATTAGGTTGTTTCATAAATTCGTAGCGTTTTCATAAACCAAAAAATCGCCAATTTACTAGGAAAGACCTTTTGACTTAACACATTCTTGTTAGCTTCTCAATCTCAATTTTTCAAACGGCAGCGCGCCGGGTTCCAAGAAAGTCATCTAACCGGCACTCAGACTAATTACTGAAATCGAGACATGCACCATTCATGAGGTTTGCTAGGGAGTGGAGTAAATATAATGTGATAGAGCGAGATTTGGAGAGTACATTGGGTACTGAAGTGCCTACCAGTCGAATCGTGCAGGACAGTTTTGACGACGTTTGCCGTATGACATGTTTCGTAATAGTAGATATTGTAGATGTTTCAACGAAAGTTGAATTTTCCAATGAAAAACCTATTTCCCCCCCCCCCCCACGCTCTCGAGGGGTCTGTTCTAGCAAAAAATTAACGAAAGCGGCTTGTGTTTGCGTCCAGCATATGGCGCTTCGACACTTCAAGAACTCAGAAAGTGCCTAGTCCAAATCTAGCCAAAGTGCATGTATTCGAAAGTCAATATTGGTTCTGGAAGCGTTCCAGCTTACCTAATATGCAACGTGTCCCAAAAGTAAATACGCACTCTTCAATCGTTACTAACTCTTTTTCTAAAAAGTCTTTTGCTTCTTCAAGTATCCTTCAGTAGAGCGGACTTACTTAGGTTTACAGTACGGAGCGAATCACCAGTCCCCTTCATTACTGTAGGATTACGATAGGAACTCCGAAGAGCGATTTGAGCCTAGTAGCTAGAATGAACACCCAAAAAGCTGAAAGAATTTTAACAGAATGCAAAGCGGAGTCGCTAACTATAAATAGAAATCCGTAGTTGATCAAAAGATTTTTTCCACGAATTCCGCCAGCTAAACCGCAATCATTTTTTCGGTGTTTTTCAATCATGTAATTAAATCATTTGAAACGCTTGGAAACCTCTGAAAGGTTTTTTGATGGGGTTGGCATGTTTGAAAACGCTGCTACACAAATTTCTAGAATTTTCAAATGGCCTATTTCACAAAGGCGCCGTACACTCAAATTCTACCGTAATCTTACAGTAGTTAAGAGAGATGAGCTATTCGCTCCATACTGTGTGTAAGCCTAATTGAAGCCTGCTCTATGAATGGTTCTTTCAGCTATGCAAAAACCTTGTGAAAGGAGAGTTATCAACGATCAAAAAGTGTGTGCTCGCTTTTATGACACTCTGTACATCTCTTTCTTGCTCAGTGATGCCCACTAATGCTATAAACTCACCGTAGTAGTCGCACGGATTCTTGTATGCCGGGCATGCATATCCGATGGACTCAAAGTAGTTGAGCATTTTTGAAGGGCAGTCGGAATACACAACTCTGCCAGATGTTAGAAGAATACCTGCACCAATTTGATTCGAAAAGCGTTAATGGTTGGAAGCTTTACTTACACTTAGAGAACATCAGAAGCAGATCGAATGAAGTAGGTGCGATGCACATTATAACCATTCGGTTCAATTTTATTGCCCAGTCACGAAGATAGTCGATGATAAACGCAGTCTCGTAGACGTCCATGTCTTTTGTAAGATTGTCACAAACAAGAATATCTTGAAAAAGAAAACTCATTGTCGTCTCGTTTGACGGGAAGCTGTAGACAAAGTTACCAAAAAAATTTCCCTATCGTTTGATTCAAATTAACTCTTTGTTCTCGTTCTGCTTTTTGCTGACATTTGAGTGCTTTTTCTGTAGCACTGACTTCAACTTCGATGTTCAGTATGGTGCGAAGTACTGGTCCATCGCAAGTGGAAACTTCGAACAGATTTTGCATCATGAAATCAGAACCTGCTTTAAAAAGACTTCAAAAAAAGCTGGAAATTTTGTCACTAAGTTTGTCATGCTGATTTGAGGAATAAGCACTGCATGCTACTGTGGATCTTTGTTCGAAAATCACGCCAGGTACATCAAAAAGCAGTATTTTGGAGTTTTCTCAAAAACTTGACAGAACCGTCTAAACTGCTACATGAAATTATATTCTGGAATCAGCTCCTTCAAGAACTCCACTTCAAATAGCTCAGTTATTTTGAAAATTTTAAGAATTGCAGCTAATTTACAAAAAAATCTGCTGAAAGTTCTTATCGTAAACTTGCAGTAACGAACAGGGATCGGTACTTCGTGCTATATTGTAAATCTAAGTTGAAGCCAGAATGGTACTTAATACTCCAAACAGTTGTTTTTATTTTTGGGTTCTGTATATTGGCAACAGAAAATATAGTCCATTAAACCCTTTGTGTCCCATAGCAAGATGAATTTACAAAGTAGCATTTGTTATTTATACCATTTCTTTCTATCAAAAAAGAAAACAGCATCCATGGATAAAACCATCTATCATCCTTCCGTGGATTTCTATCCATTGTCATACCATGGCGAAACCAGTGAAATGAGTATTATATCTACCAGATAGGATAATTGGTGTGTCATAGGCACTCGTTTCGATTCCTTCTATCTATGTAACTATAGCACCTTGTTTGTAAATGGAGGAAAATGTGTTAGGGTGTCCCATAATTTTTTACCGTTTTCACCCTAAACATCAGCATTTCTCAAGAACTGGAATATCTTCAAAGTTTACAAATACATGGTTGTAATTCTGTATGTATGAGCTATATGATCACATGCGTGGGAGGAGCTCAGGATGTCTAGGGCGGAGTTTGCCATTTTACCCCATTCATTTTTTTCTTCATTTTTAGCTGTGGAAAAATGCGGAAATAGTACAGTTGAATGTGCGATGTCGCGGCTCGCGATCGACCGCTCCTCAAAGCATGTGGCCGGGAGCACCGTGTTGCCGCGCAGTTCGGTCGTGAGCACGGTCGCCGCGCTTGGCGGCTACCTTGTTCGCTTCCGGACCACCATGTAGGCACGCCCCCAGCCACCGCTATAAATAGCGCGTACGCGCGCCAGTGCGGCCTCTCTCGTCCTACCATCGTATTACTATCGTCGTGCCGCCTTTGTTATTGGTTGGTTGGGTTTCCACGATATCGCCGTCGTGTCTACGTCCCGTGCTTCGCGCGATTGGATGGATCGTTGATGGATTGTTTGGATGTACGCGCGAGAATAGAATTCCGGGATGATGAACATCACGAAGCGCCTTGGTCGCGCAGGATTCGTTGGGAGCTTGGTTCGATGCTGCTGGTTTACATCATGGGGTCGGTGTTGCCGTGCCGTAACTGCTGCCTTGGCGGCAGGCGGCCGGCCTGTGGTAGCTCCCTTGGATGCCGGGAGAGTGTGTGAGTGTGTTAGTGTGTGAGCGTGAGTAAGATAGAGTCCCCATCGGTAGCCCGGGGTAGAGCTTAACTCTCCCTGTGGTAAGTATGTTTATATTTATTTATGTCGTGTATTTTCTCGTGTTTATTTGTTTAGTAAATTTATGTATATTTATTGTTTCGTGTGCAGTGTAGGCGTAACGCGCCATTGTGAGCTGGCGCCATCCGCAGTGGCGGAAGTCCTTTGGGGGCAGGAGCTGAGGCGCAAAGGCTCGAGCGCTAGGTGAGGGGGCGCAGAGCCCACCGAGCCGCAACATGCGATGTGGCAAGCATATGCGAGGATAAATAAGGAATTTTTATGACATTGTGGCGGATATGCGATTTTTGAAAGAAAAGTTCGTTTTTGATTGATATCAGATTTCAACTCAGAACTTGCGGTGAAATACGACTTGGACGGATTCTTCATAACTATCTTGTAGAGCTTGCTTTGCTCTGTCGAATGATTACTTAAGTCACATAAATTGAAGGAAAAATATAAAAAGACGACGGTTATAGTAAAAACGGTAAAAAATATGGGACACCTAATAGAAAAACTTTTCTGCTGTGTTCCTTTTTTCGTCTCCCAGCATGGCTACACTCACGATTTGGGGTGTCCTTCAAAACCACCATTTGCTTTCATAAAAGATATTTTTCATAGATCAGATGCAACACAAGCAAGCTCACCTGTGTCTTTGAGAAGTTGGGCAGCAATTCTCAGCCGAGTTGCTTCAGACCTGCTCAAAGTTGAACAAAGCTTATGACGACGCGGAGCCAAGCCCAGAGTGGTAAGTAGCTGTTCAATCTAGAAGGGTTGGATGGAGATAAAAGACTGAGCTTTTTGATGATTCATCAAGGCTAACAGCTTATTAAAAATCAGATTTACATGGGTATTGCTCGGAATTCTTCAATCCTACTATTTGGAATACTCACCATTTCTTTGATCCTGAGATGTTTAGTGGCGGGAGGATGGATTGCTGCATGGATGGTCAGATACTGAATTACTGTTAAAGGTTGCGAAAGTTCCTCCTTCGTCACATATGCTAAAATTATTGCACAATTCGAGCACGGTCACTTCATTCCGCAAGCCACAACCAGTAGAGAAAGAGTTTCCCATAAGTAAAAATAGGTTTTTTTCTCCCAATCCATTTTAGTTCAGTTACTGGTCCTACTCGAGGCGGCAATAGAGTGTTTATTACAGCAATATGTGGAGATAGCCGATTCTCAAGTCAGTGCTTTTATACCTCCAGATTACTCTGGTATCAATTTACCATCCCCAGAGGGTAGATACTTTTTCTAGTGTTAACATGCACAGAATCACAAGAATTTGTGCGGCTTTAGTGACAATTGTGTTAGAAGAAACTTCATGCATAGCGCAGCGGAAAACCTCGGAAGCTTCATTGTGGTCCAGCAATGAAATGTTGTGCGACGATAAGATTCAGAAACGTAGATGTTTTACACAAATTGCCTTTTCTTTTTTGGGATTTGAGTAGCCATCTCCTTTCAAGCCTATTAATGACGGAAAAAATTACCTGTACGTGCCGCTAACTGGGCAGGCTTGAGGCAGTGGTCATTGATGGAGATCCCACCTTTGGCACGACCTTCTCGTAGACGACCACTAAGCACGTCGATCAACGCTCGCGATTCCGATTCTGCTCATGGAAGGGAAACCAATAATTATTGTTTCCAGGGGAATTCGTAGTGAAAGAAAACATGAAGGGAAAACTTTGAGATCATCTTGACGTATTCATAATAGAAGACCTATCTAACAAAAAACCACAACATTTTTGCATGGGTTGTGTCTGATAGCCTCCAATCATGAACTTTAAGGGCCGCATGCACTAACATGGCCGCGGGGAGGGGATCGCAGCTTAAAAGAAAGCTTCATATTTCGAAACTCCAGATACTTGGATTTCACGTTGTGTGCCTATCCGTAAGTATTCCTACTACCCTTCACTATGAACGTGTTGAACAGGAGCGAGAAGCTGTACAAACCGCATTTTCCAGCTTTTGTATGATCCCTGACGATCCCCGGCGCTTTTCTTTTAAGTCATTTTTCTTTCCCCGAAGTTAACGAGAAACTTTCAAAGTTGTGCAGATTATCTAACCCAACAGTGCTAAGCATGTTGCTGATGAGAACAAATGATGTTTTGAAGTCATGAAATTTTCGATGATCCACAAGTCGAAATTTGGGGTATACCGAAAAATTCGATTTTTCAAAAATTCATTTGTTCTCATCAGCAACATGCTTAGCACTGTTGTGCTAGATGTTCAGTATAAGTTTGGAAGGTTTTCGTTGTCTTCAGAGAAAGAAAAATGACTTTGAAGAATAGATGTTCGTCCCCCAGGGATCATCAGGGGATCCTACAAAAAGCTGGGAAATGCGGCTTGTACAGCTTCTCGCTTCTGCTCAATATGTTCATAGTGAAGGATGGTGGGAGTACTTACGGACAGGTAGACAGCGTGCAATCCAGATATCCGGAGCTTCAGGATATGAATCCTTCTTCTGAAGCTGCGATCCCCTCCCCAGCGGAAATGTTAGTGCATGTGGCCCTAAGTCGTTTTTCTGGCGCGGGGAGGGGAGGGGGGAAGAGGATAATTTCATTATTGTAATGAGAAGCTTCCATTTTTCAATTATAAGTACTCGCTGATTTTTGCTCACACAATTGCGCATTCTTGTACATGAAACATTTATTACCTTCTCCCCCCCCCCCCCGCTCTCCATAGTGCTATATGCTGACAGTACCGCAATATGGTTACCTTCAATGATTCTTATATAAGAAGCGCTTAGCTTGCAATTTACCTGATGCTGACAATACCGCCATTATATCTCCTGCCCAGAGCTGAAATGACACATCACGGATCTGGAACGGGTTATTGTGAGTACATAGTATGTAAACTTAGGTTTATATAATATTACCAGAAACTGGCGCTTAGGCATTCGAAGCATAAGGCGTTCCCAACTTTTTCTTTGATCTACGGAGTAGGAAAGGTGAGAAATAGCTAGACATGGTGATTCGCTAGAATTATGACGTCGATAAATGCTATGCTATTTGCAAATTGACTGTTACCAATTTTCTTCCCTCCTTTCCTGTTTGTAACTCCTATATCCAAATTGATTGAGCTCTTCGCTACATGCTGAACTTGTTGTGGAATTATGCAGTTGAGAATCGATTGCGCTTAGGTTATCGGAAATTCTGAAATGTTGTATTCATTTTCCATTGGTAGGGTCGGTTAAAAACACCTTTTCCTTTCTTCCATATTTCTTTTTCCTGTGCCAATTTTTATAGGATCAGCGTGCATAACGTTTTGCAGGATGCAACTCTCTGAACTCGAGCTTATCTCCAGCCATATAAAACTGTTCATACCAACAAATTTCACTTTGCCTTACCTGAGACACTGCTTTTCAAAAGTTTAGAGGTTGCCCCGGTACCATAGACTACGTCGTATTCTCTTGCAACGCATGACTCTTCTGACATATCGAGATTCTTGTATATGGCCAATATCTAAACATCATAATCGATCACAAGTCCAATCTCAACAAATCGATCAAAGCAAAGACCTTTTTTCAGCGAAAATGATTATCAAAAATAATGTTTATATAAAAAATTCGCTTCTGCTGTTCTTGAATGGAGGAACGTAATTTCTAGTCTTCGCTAGAGCATGTCAATGAGGAAATGGGCAGTGTCAGAGCAAATTTTTGTACTTGGTTTTCCATTACTAGTGCACATTTTGTATGTGGTAGCGAAAATTGTGTATAAAAACTCGCAAATACGCCAAAAAATAGAGATAGAAAATAGAAATAATATTATAAAAGTCATAGTAATAGGAATGAAATAGAAATAGTAAAGATTAAAGAAATATCAAAAGAAATAGAAATGCTGGACATGAGGAATAGGCGAAATGGCCAGATAGGTGCCCCTGCCTGGCCGATTGTCCGTCGCTTACAAAGTGTGTCAATCTGAGCGGTGATTGGCTTACTGAGTTTGCTCGCCACGCCCACTCAGCATTTTTTACGTTTGAGAAAACAGAAAGTTTATGTTCTAAGCATGATATTGGACTTGATACAAACAGAAAGACTGATTAAAACTCGGCGCTATTCAGAAACTGGAGCGGGCAAACGCTAAACTACGGTAAGATAAATCGATAATTGATTTTGGCAGCTATCGATCAGATCATATACACTATGCACATTTCATGACACGCAAAGACTGGGCACGGTTGCGTCCAGCCAAGATAGTTCGTGCATAAGGGAGGCAGCAGACGGTAAGAGAAACGAAAGAGCGCTTGGCCAAGAGAGATGCCGATATGTCCGCAGTCTTCGCATGCGATGAATCGCCTATACGTGACATTTCACAGGAAGAGACTCCTGATTCAAAACCCAACTCTGAAGTAAATCTCAGAATTGTTTTGAAAAGCCGCCATGGTTTGCAACAACCTTGATACAGCAAGGAGAGAAAAGGGGAATTGGGATAGTTATTGTCCGGCAGCAAATTACCGAATCCTGGCGTAGATTATTTGTTGCAGCTGGTCAGGGATAATTTCCTAGTGGCAGCATAGAACTGGACAAGTCGACTGTCACGCATTTCGCTTGCGAAAAGGTGGCCAACTGAGTCGAAATCGTGGTTGAAGTCTGGTCTCAAATGACGAGGGTCACTGTGACATGTAATTGTTAGCCCTGTGCTACGATGAATGCAACGGGTATGTCCAGCCTTGAACGAGTTTCATAACGCATTTCACGCTAATTTTTTACTTGACTCAGTGTTGCACTATAGAATTCACTGCTTCGCATTGGTTCGTCGCATTTGCTCGGAAGTACTGTATTACTCCGCATTTTTGAAGTGATCGTTATTTGACGCAGTCAAGTGCAATGTTCTTTTTCATACTGTACATCGTGACTTTTGACTAAGCAGTAAGTCCTATATCTCTTGAATTGCCCAACCATAGCTCTTGCGTCAAGGCGTATCCAAGAATGTTTTTTTTGAAAGTTCGCCAAGTTCTCATTCCTTACTTGCAGAAATTTTACAGCATATTGCCTTTGTAGGAGATAACAGCCTGTTCTCTTGGACAGTCAGCTCACTTTCGTTGGTTTTGATGGAAGAAAATTTCCAACGAAATATACTTGGTCGATTTTTGACTAAACAGATAACTCGGATTTGTTAAGAGCCTTACAAGTGACTTTTTAACTACTTTCATTGAGTACAGTCTCTCAGCCATTATCTAAAAGTGAGTAGGCCTAAGTTGAAAAGTTTGGAGAGTTTCAAAATTGTACTGAAGTGGTTACAAAGTTATTTCATACGATGGAATCCGGCTTACTTACAATTTCGCAACGGCGGAACTAGCAAAGTAATGTGGACGCTGTGCGACTAGTAATGATGTTCCAGTAGTAAAAGCGAGTAGTCACCAGATCCAGGATCTCTGTTAGGATTCATAGTGCTGTCAACGCTCTCAGCACATTGTCAGTATAATTCTGAATAGTTATTGTTTTGTCGCTTCTTCAGTGGTAGTTGAAATATCAATAGAAGGTTCATTCTACTTGAGTCTGAAGATGACCAAACTGAGCTTTACGGTCGCCTCGAAAAGCGTAAAAATTAGTTGGAAAGCTACACGCAGAAAAGGGCTGGACTTATAAATAGCAGTCTTTTAGGAAATGAATAGGTAATTGCTTTGCTATCCATCATCTTTTCATGAATTGTAACTACAAAGTCTTCTAAAATTACGTATCGATTGTTTGATCTGTAAAAACCCTTTGTGTACCTACTAATGTCATACGAGTGGTTTCAACTTAGATTCACGGTATGGAGCAAAACATTGGCCACTCTTCGAAGAGTTGATTTGCTCTATACTGTAAATCTAAGTTGAAGTCAGCTCTACAATATGATGTTAGAAGGAATGGGGAAGCTTCTCATATAAGATAGTTATTAGGTATTAAACGTTCAGATACGTTATTTTAGGAAACCCTATATAAATCTAAGCTTCGGATCGCAGTAATCTCTCTCTAAGTTGATAAATTGATAATCCTTTCCATATAAAAATATGATGTAATTTCTTGACACAGTTTCACACAACCTTTCCAATAAATGGGATTGCATGTTTTCCTTACTAAATTCCATTTCTTTTTCAGTTTTTCAAGAATCTGGACATTTAACAATGAATGAATCGGCGAGCAAAACTGAACACTTACCTTATCCTCCTCATTTGCTTGATTCTTAGTAGCCATCTGCTTCTGAGGCCGAGAATAAATGGGAGAGAATGGATTAGCTTCAACGACGGCCATTGAAGTACTGTAAAAATTCCTTGCGAATGGTGTAAATAAAATCGTCTCAAATTTTATAAAAGGTTGGTAAAGGCTTAAATGGCAAAATGAGGTGGATGGGAATGAAATACGGTGAAAGTATAGGTGCAACGGAGAATTGGATGTGGATGTATGACCTGGACGATGCAATTAAAGCCGACCTTGCTGGCTCCATTCATCGTTCACACGGACCACCTCATTCACCTGCTTTTCTTGAACTATTCATCCGTACTCTTAGCAATTTGCGATTTGCTTGCCTTCCTGGATCAATTTTGCCCTGCTGAAGGGATTTCAATCTTTGTTTTTGCTGTTTGCACTATCAAAGATAATTATTTGTGAGCTCGAGGCAGGTGCCACCTAGGTAATCCCGTATAATGACAGGGCAGGGATTCGCGCGATCATGGGTTCACTTAAATTATGTTTGTTGACACTGTAGTTCTAGAAATGCAAAAATCTCACCGCTATTTCTACTCTTATGTGCGGTATAACCCAATTTTGCTACCACTCTAAGAAACCCTGCTAATTGGCGCTGGAAACTCTCCACCAATGACTCCCCAAAGCAGCTGCTAGCTTAAGGAATGAGAAAAAAATAATGTACAAAGAGGGTTTTTCATAATGGAAAGCCACTGTCTCGTATTTGTCCGACTGTAAGTACATCGTCAATCTCAAGACAAATGGACCGAGAATCATGGTTCGGAGGAAGGGGGGTACAAATAATCAACTGCATTATTTATATTGTCTCACCTTGCTTCTCAGAGCTTTGTTTAATCTTTATCTTTACCTCTATCTTATTCTCTACTTTCCACAAGGCATTGAATAATTCAAAAAATTGGTAAAGTTCGGAATTTACAATAGAATTAGCGTATTAAAAACGATAATAACCTAAAAAAGTCGTAATGACCTATTATCTTCATCGAATCGGTTACTACTTTGCTTTACAGAAGCTCGTATGCAAATCACAGCAGATTATAATGTTCCTCACTCCATAGGATGATAGACAACACGACTAAGGTGCATAAGCTACACGTAGAGAACCTGAGCTTCAGTTGTACTGTGGAACAAGAATCCCTGTAAGTGATTTTTTTCTTGAGTACCATATAACGCGAATGTAACTCTACGTCAATGGTTGTAGGTGTGCAAGATTGTATTCTCCACCCAAAGTGGCTCATATATTGAGAAATGTTTCTCTAGAAGCTGTATCTGGAGAAGTTCACGCGATTGTGGGAAGTTCAGGTACTTATATCATATCGTCAATATAATATTTTGTCTTAAAGTGACACTCACTATACTGGCTACTAAGCCTTTAGCCTCTTCCTCAAAGACTCGTAGAATTTGGACCGCAGTAGTAAAAAAATGGAAATTAATGAATTTGAGACTAGCCATCACTTAGGCTGGGTCATAATCAATTCGAGTCTTTCCATCCTCTTTTTCGGGTACTAATACTAATATTTTTCTCTCGTAATATGAAAGACCGTATCTTCTAGTTTTTTTTACATGTTCTCTTTTCGTAGATCTGGTTTCACTCCAGATTCCTAAGCTTTTAAAGATAGGAGCGTTGAACTTGAAACTCCTCTTTCACTTTTTTCTCTATATTTATGAAACCAAAGCAGATGCCATAATGGTCCTCCCCGTAATATTCTAAAATAAAAACAGCAAATGTCTATTACGCATAGTAAAAATGATGAGAGTTCCCGTGCAATTATCTTTTTATAGGCAGCGGCAAGAACTTACTGCTAGATGCGATTGCTCGTACAGCAAGTGGTGACATTACCGGAACAGTACAATTGAACAAGTATACTATAACTCGTAGGTTTACCACTGTTTATTATTTAACGAATCAAAATAAACTTGTCAGCAAGCTTTATTTTGCACGTCACCTTTTCTTGTGAATTCCGAAAATTGGAAACCTGCAAGGATGTCTACAGAAAATGGATGTTACAGGGTCTCGATTTTTGAAGTACTGTTCTTACGTGCCTGCTAGACGCGAATATCCTGGCTTCATGACTTTAAATTCACTTCTTTACTACACTGCAGCACTCACTTTTGGAAATTTCAGGGCAAATGACATCAAGACGAGGGTAATCGCTTTTCTCAAATTCTATGCATGCTTCTTTATTTAAATATGTCTTAGCTGCATTATTTAATGCGAACTTTCGATCTCTTGGGTTACGGTCACGAGAAGCTTGGAGATTTGTCAAAGACTGCAAGAAGAAGAGTTGCTGTCGCTATAGCGCTAGTGAAGGATCCAGGTTCAGAATTATTTTTTTAGACAGAATTTGTTATAGTGTGGACCCCGGCCAGGTCCACACTATAACAAATTCCACGTTCCCATAGGCACTTCCGCGGCGCGCCCGCAGCACGCGCCCTTCTTAATGCTTCTCGCCTCATTCATGAGCAGTAGAGCATATTTATGCTCACAAAGGAGAAAAATGTGAAGTGGAAACCTCTAGGTTCACTTCGAAAGGGACGTATGCAAGAATGAAACGCAGGCAACCTCCATGAGCACCTCAAACTCAATCGATAGATGCATATTCCGAACTTGCACTGATAGATAGGTTGTAATAAGTATACGTAGAGAAATTGAAGAATAACAGCATTCTTAAAACATTTATCTTCGTAGACGTAAAGACTAGAGTGGTCAAAAATTTCAAAAAAAGTAGACATTTCAGTAAACAAGTGCCTATTGGCTTCTCGGAGGGCTCAATCTTGTCTACATCTTACACATCAAACCGAAAGGGACTCTTATTTTATACAAGAAGCTTTTGAAGGAATATTATCTTGCTATCCAATCAAATCTCAATTTTTCAAAGAAAAAAGGGAAAACACAAGACTGAAGCTCTTAGAACTATTAGAGCACGTGAAATCTCGTCACCGGTTATCGCGAATTGCTTATACCTGAAATAGAGAGAATATACAGGGTGTCCCAAAAAGATGTGCACACTGTTTGATCGTTAATAACTCTCCTTCTTTTATGTTTTTTGCCGAGATTGAGGTACCATTCTGTAGAGCGAGGTCCAACTTAGATTGGCAATGTAGAGAGAACCATCGATCGATCTTCATTACTATAAAATTACGGTAGGAACTTCGAGGAGGATATCGAGCCATTGAAAGCGGTTTTTTGCCAGTAGTTTGCCCCAAAAAGAAAGCCAAACAAGCCACAAAATCTTGAAGTGGGTTAATCGAAGTCGCTGAATCTAAATATGAAACTTGCACTTCAGTGCATTGCTCCTTTGATAAGTTACTTCAGATTTAGGATAACAACTGCTTTTCCAATGTTCGTCAGAAATGTGAATACGCCATCAAGAAAGCTCGCAAAACTGTTGAAAAGTCATGTAGTGAAGTCAGCAGGCCTGAAAACTTGCTACACAATTTTTCAAATTTTTTTGAAATTATTTCTTCAAAGGCCTATTCTCCAGGGACGCTGTATGCCAAAACTTCATACCGTAATCTTACAGTACTAAAGAGCGATCGCTGAATTGCTTTATACTGTAAATCTAAGTTGAACTTCGTCCTACAAAATGGTACCTCAAGCTCGGTAAAAGATATGAATGCAAGAGAGTTATTAACAATCAAACAGTGTGCACATCTTTTTGGGACACTCTGTAGTATACCAAAAACAAAAAAAAAAGAGAGAAAGGAAGATTTCCATCAAAAGCTAAGACGAGAGAAGCACTGAAGGCGCGCGTTGCGGGTGCGTCGCGCAGGTACCTATGGGAAGCTGGCCGGGGTCCACACTATACTACCAAATTAAGTGCTGTTAATACTCGAAAACCCCTTGCGCGGTTTGGAACCTATCGCCTGCTACCAGCTGATCAACTGTCTTCGAAGCTATGCTATTGAACAAAATCGCATTGTGCTTATCACAATCAATGAGCCTCGAACGGACATCTGTCAATCAATCTCGAGGATTACTGTACTCTTTCAAGGAAGAGTCATGTATTCGGGTGAGCAAATTCGCGTAATTGAACATTCAATGATAATCAATGTTACCTGAGCAGTCGAGAAATTTTCGTACTTATTTCTTTGCGATTTTGTACATAATTATTCTCTCATTAGTCAATCCAAACTTTATTCATTAGTTATATAAGGATTCAAAAGACTGAATGTACTATGTGGTAAATGATACCTCTTTGTTTTTTGCCACAGTTCTCTATTCAACTACGGATTGGAGTTCCATTGATCTCGACCAGAAGTTTGTCACTTTTTCACAAACTTCTATCTTTACTTGAATTGACAATCAACCTCCACTTATAATCCCGAAATCCTTGACATAAACCTCTCCACAGTTCTTGAAAATAGAATTTCCTGATTGAATATCAAGGGAAAATCAGTATAGATCTGTGGGAAAATCAGTATAGATCTGTGTTATTAGCAACGTCTTTTCTTTCTTAGGTTATATTCGAAATCTACGAGCATTCATGCACGATGCTGATTTGCAATGTCCTGAAAACGAAAATCCAGTGATGTATTACTGTAAGTTCAGTGTAGTAGCAAGACTGTAGTTTGTTTCTTGCATTTCTGCTTTCAAATATGCTAGATTACAGTGACTAAAGCAACACTCAATCGAGAAACTCATGAAACATATACGAAAACGTATGACCAAGCGTTGAGGCTCGTCTTTTTCTTCAAAGTGAGTGCCAAAAGTCATGCATGATTGTCTGCTTCTATGATTCTGATTTTCTCACAGGAGGAAGTTACATGTAAGGCTGAAAAAAACGTTAACAATGCCAGCTTATTCAACATGTATTACATGCTGTATTCAGAATTGGGTCAAAGTGACCTGTGGATCTGGATAATTTGTAAATACTGCCGTTTTGCGAAAATTAAAAAATAGAAGATCAATGTCATTTTTACCAAACTGAAAATCACTCGTTTTTTAGGGATGGTATACACAGTGCCCCCCAAAAAATGTTAACATTGTTTGCTCATTAATAACTCCCTTGGTTTCATGTCTTTCGCCGAGCTTAAGGCACCATTCTGTAGAGCCAGGTTCAACTTATTGTTAGATTTACAGTATGAAGCAAAACTCCGATCTCCCTTCGTTACTGTATGATTATGGTAAGAACTTCTAGCATGTGAATCCGTGAAATATGCCCTTTGACAAAATTTTTTTTCAAAAAATCTGAAAAATCGTGTACTAGGCTTTCGCGAACGCTGATTCCACTGCACAATTTTTTACGAATGTTTTTAGCTTTTTGAAGGTGTTCAAATTTTTGACAAATGCTGCAAATCTATTTATTAAGGTTTACCTTGGATAACCTTGAAAAGATGCATCACAGTTAAGTGGAAACTTCATATTTGAAATCAGCGGCTTCCATTACCATAGTGTAAAAGTTTTTAGTTTGTTCGGTTTTGTTCCGAGGTAGATCATGGCCTCTAACGGCCTAAAATCCTTGTCGAAGTTCTTACCGTAATCCTACAATAATGAAGAGAGTTCGATGATTCGAATCATACCGTAGATCTAAGTTGAACCTCGCTCTCTAGAATGGTGCCTCAAGCTCGGAGAAAGACATGAAAGCAAGGGAAAGCAGCACAGTGTTAACATTTTTTGGGACACCCTGTATCACTTTTTAGATCATCAAACTGACTTCTTCTTTCTATTTATTCTGCAAATCTCGTAAAATGCATAGCTTTCCTCGCATTTCAATGCAAAACTTTGGTTTTCAAATTTTACATCACACACAACACATTTATAAAACGTTCGGGTATGATCAAATAATTTTTATTCAAAAAAGTAGCATTAAATTGGTTAACAGCAGAAACAAAATTTGAAAACTCAAATTCCATTCCAGAATCATTTCGCACCAGCAGTACCTGTGCGCTCTCGCCCTAATAATGCTCATACAGGAGGCACAGTTGCCCTATGTTTTCTTCCACGTCCATCATCCCTCAGAAAATTTCTCGTTCTAGTGCGGTAAGCTAATAGTTCCAGTACATGGAGCAAGGATTCCCAGCATGTTATATTTGACTGTGCATTTTTATTCAGGCGTTCCTTGCTGATTATTGGTTCCAACAGTATTCCATTTCTACTCAGGCTTGTGGTTGTTCCTATTGTAATGTCACTTCTACCATTTCTTGGGTAAAATACTTCCGTTTTTCCAAATTATCGCTTATGCTTGCTAGTTTTAGCCCGGACTTGCAGTCCGGCTTATGGACCCTTCCGTATGCTTCATCAAGAATTTTAGAACTTGCATTGTTCTTACTGTACTTTTGCACAAGTTGTATAACAACGCTATGCTGTAAGTATTCACATCTTCAAAATGATTTCTATGGAAGACCACCCACTTTGGCGTTTTATAAAATTTATACAATTTTAAGATGGCAAATCTCGTTCTATCAACATAATAGAAACAAGTGATGGCCTCTACAGTGGCTTACTATGTCCTCTTCCCTTTATCTTCACATTATTCATCACTGATCTCATCACAATCTCGCTTTCAGCGGCCGCACTTCTCTGGTGAGCTTTTTTTTACACTACTCACTTGCCGTACTTTTGCGCTCATCTCTCTTGAGAAAAATTGACCGGCGATTTAACTCCCTGTGATTGTGTTTTAGGCTCTGCAACATAACGGCAGTAGATACAATACTTCGAGTTGCTCCCGTCTTTACTTGCATTTTCCTAATCGCGGAATTTGTTACAATGTCAGCGATGATATACAATGAAGATAGCCTAACCTGCTGCATTTCCTCCATTTCAATATTGCTACTTTGGGTGCTGTTCGGAGGAGGATTATTACGGTAAGGATTGTTTCAATTTTTTTTGAAATCTGTGGTGGTCTTTGTCGGAGGAGTTTTTTGCCAAATGTAAATGCTGTTCTTCAAGAAGGGGCACCTCAATTTTGATGGAAGTGGGTCATGTCAGTTATTCCTATCTCAAACATTAGTGCGCGTTTGCAGGACAAAGAAAGTTCTTCAAAAATGTGCAACTGCCAATCAACAGTGGCGATTCAAAAATTCCCCGAGTTGAAAAAAATCAACTTAACGTACAAGTGAAGCGTACCATTTTCATGTTTTTGTAATTCATGAAGGGACTTGAATAAATTTGCAACTCACCCTCCTTCCAATTTTCCACCTGCCACTGATGACCATTCGTAATTATTCTGCATAATAGAAAAAATCTACATATCGTATGTAGACTTATCTCACTAAGAATAGACGAGAAGAACTTAAGATTTTATGGTTCTGTGTCTTAGCCATCTGGGTTGTAAGAAGCTATCATTATGTGTGCACTAACAATAATTTCTTTTGGCGTTTGGACGCAAGATGATTTTTGCTAATTTAAAACAAGCTAATGGCTCTGACTGAAATTTTTTGTAAACAAACTGATAATTTAAAGCACGTGTACTGCAATAATGGACTTTTCTTTTTTAGCTCATTAGCTACATACCCATTCCACTTACTGACTTACTTTTCCTTCATCAATCCCATTCGCTACGCAAACTATATTCTCACTTTGGAAATCACTTCTACCGTACCAATACGCGGCTGCGCCAGAGTAGAGAAAGGTGATATAGATGCTACCCCTGTGGAGAAATTTTGCAGGTAGTATTTAGCCCGTTTTAGTAAAATTTCTTAGCTTTAGCTGGTTCAATTTCAGGTGGAAAAACAGTTCCAAATACATGCAAGAAATGTTTCCAGACTCTGTTCAGCCTCGAGATTATTGGAGCAACATAGCTGCGTTAGCCGCTATTGTCTTTGTCCTCTTTTTATTCATGCTTTTTCTTCATAGCATCTCGCAATCGAAGCGATCAGAGGATAGGATTAGGGCATCGAATTGAACTTGTAAAATATTTATTACTTCATAAGCACATAAAAATCTTTGTAAAGTACTGTATTGAGCAAAATATGTTTAATCTGACGCTTCACCGACTACATAACCCTCATCTGAACCCGTTGATCCGGTCTGTGAACAGGATACCTGAAGTGAAAAATTCTTGACACATCAATTTCACCAATCTTATGACCATCAAAATTCACTATCGCTGAATGTCAAAATTTGCTATAGATCAAATCGCATCCTTTTGTTACAAAAACTTTTTTCAGCATGGGCTTATGTGTGCATGAAAAATAACCCTTTGAACTACAATCTATCATACATTCCCAAAAACAAACTCATTTCGAATTAATCAGATTGTTTTTGTTTTTCTAGTAGACTCCGGGACACTGTACGTTAGAGCAAAGCGACCTCCAAAATCAAAAATTTATTACCTGAAAATAGAATTTCTGCTATAAAGAAAACTTCTGCGAGACTCTGAATTGGTCATCATACAGAAGCTATATAGTAATTTTCATTCGCGCATAGGAATCAAGAAGAAAAAGAAGTTTAAAAATAGCAAGCTCCGCCTCCAGCCCTTCCTAAATGTGTGACTGCACCTGCAAGCCCTAGTAAGTATAATATTCAAATTACACCTCTCATGTATAATAGTGGAGAAGTGGACAACTTTAGCATGAAAAACCACAAAGAAGTGACATTTTTGCGTTTTCGGGCAGATTTTGGTTCTTGATTTCGAGCCGCATAAAAAGTCCAGCAAACGTATTTATGTGGTCCCTAGAAACTTTCTATAAACATCGACTGTATGGGCATTGAAAATTTTTAATCCTTGGCCAATATGCCAGGGACAGATTGTCCAAAAAAACTCGGCCCCCAGTCCATTCCACATATGTCTTTGTCTACTACAAGTCTTTGTAAGTATAATGCTATGGTTTTCCATGTGCCCTTATACAAGATGTCCCAAAAGTAAGTACACACTTCTCAATCGTTAATATCCTCTCCCCATTATGTCTTTTTCTGCCATTCGAATATCATTCTATAGAGGAAGCTTCAACTTGATTTACAGTGTTGAACGAATAACCGATCCTCTTCATTACTGTAGGATTACTGTAGGAATTTCGGCAAGGATTTTATGCCACTAGAAGCCATAATCTGCGTCGGAACAAAACCAAACAAGCCAAAAACTCTTGAACTATGGTAATGGAAGCCGCTGATTGCAAATATGAAATTTACACCAAACTGTGATGCTTCTTTCCAAAGTTATCCTACGTGAACCGTAATAGCCGAATTCCCAGTATTTGTCAGAAATGTGATTACACCGTCAAAAAAGTTGAAAACACTCGTGAAAAGTTGTGTAATGAAATTAGCCTGCGCGAAAACCTTAGTACACAAATTTTCAGATTTTCAGAAAAAGGTTTTGTTTGTTGGCATATTTCACAATGGTTCCACATGCTGGAAGTTCTTACCGTAATCCTACAGTAACGAAAAGCGATCGGAGATTCGATCAATACTGTAAATCTAAGTTAAAGCCTCCTCTACACAATGGTACTTGAATGGAAAAAAAGACCCATTGGGAAGAGAGATATTGACGATTGAAAAGTGTGTACTTACTTTTGGGACACCCTGTATTCAAGAAGTATCAAGTTTTACATGAAAAACCCGAGAAAAGCGGCAATTTGGTATTTTCGGACCTTTGTTTCTCAATTTTGGACTTGGACTAATAAAAATCCATCAAATACTTTTGCGTACTACTGTGTCTATTATATAGTGACTAAGTTGGAAGTCTATAGGGAGTGTTTGGAATGAGATCCGATTATTTAGGATATTCCAAATTTTTGGTTTTTGGCCCCAAATTTTACTTGGATTGTGGCTCAAGTGGGTCTTGGTGATGGTTACTGTTGCGCTTGCTTTGTTCTGTCGGATAGTACACCAAGTCTACTAGAAGAACAGAAACACTATGGATTTCAGGGACGACGTAACGCAGGAACTCAGTCTTGAAAATTCTGTGATTGAGATACCCACTGTGCTAATCGGTAAACTGTTGGCCGAGGTGGATGCCGATCGCACATACCAAACTTGGTTGATACAGTAAATCTAAACACTATATGGTATGGCACCCAACACTCTTCGAAAACACAGTATCGACTCACCCGAGCAGTCAGAGTAGTTCCATCTCGTTGGATGGTACGCACGACTTGTCCTGACACATTGAAGAACTCAATTTGCATGGTGGAAGGCTAAATATATCTCCAAAAAGGGTTCGGGGTTTTTAGTGTTCACTTACGTTTGTGTCGGGAGCGGCGTCGCAAAATACAAAGCCGTCTGTGGGGCATGTTGAGCTAACCCGTCGTAGAATCGAGCATTGCTGGAATGTGGTGGACGACGGTGCCCGTCGAGGTAGCGCTGATTGTGAAAGCATCGTGCAGCAGGCTGAAATGTGGAGTTTGAGTTTGTGAAATAAAAGTACTCGAAATCCAGGGAGTTCTTCCTTCTATCGAAAAGTAAGGCTTTTCACGGTGCTTATCTTTTCCTGATCTGCTTCTGCTATGAAATGCAAAAATACCAGCGTTACTCCCCCAATCCGAGAATGGGTTGCGAAAATTTTCGAACGTTACTTACATGGGATAAATAAATGTGCAAATGACTAGTTAAGCATAACTTTCACTCTCTGTAGCAAGTTTTAACCCAGAACATTTCATTTTGCGAAAGAACTTTTTTCAGATTATCAGTAGAAAAAAATCTAAAAAATGAATTCCCATATCAGAAAGGACTGATAGTGAGTTATTTTTGATTTTTTTGCTATTTCTCATGAACAAGTCGTGGGCTTTGGAGAATACAACTACTCATGCTATTCTTTAACAATCTAAAATACGTTGTGCTTTTTCAAAGAAGGGTTTGCAGAGAAAAAATGTACTGAATTAAAAGAATACATGAAAAAACTCTCTTGGTGAAGCATTAATGTTTGAGTGCATGAGATATTGTCAAAGATGATTGGATATCCAGCAAAAGTTTTTTCTCAGAATTACGACAATTCGGAATTTCAAAAGCGACCTTTGAAACAACTCAATAGATGGCAACACTACGAGATGAAAAACAATTATGATCGTATTACACTGCAAGTCCTTATCTTACAGTTTTCATACAAATTGGTTATAGTCCTAGATCATGTGCGTCACTTTTCAAAGTAAGAGTGCTCAATTATTCATTTCAAAGTAAATTTTGTAGTTTAGACCAGTTTGTGAATTGCAGCTTCTTGTCAACTTCATTTTTGCGCCCATCCAAAGTGCACTGAGCAGGTAAGAAGTGTGTAAATTAGACAATGTGCGAACTTTATAGCTGCATTTGAGTAAAGATGAGAAAGTTCCTTTCTTACAAATGCTTTTCGTTTTCTATCTCTCAACACTGCACTTGGCTGCGCGAGATCATACCATCATTCCTCCAGGGAGCATCATTTCTCAATCGAAAAAATACGTAATTTTATTCAGGTAAGAAATTATTATTGGTAAAACATTAGTATGATCGTACTCGTATTCAGTACCATGCATACTAAAGGAGATGAGAACCACGAGGCACTTACCCGGGGTGGTTGTAGTAGGAATGCACTCACTAGAGCGCTGAGCCAGTGCAAGAAATGATAATGCTGCCATGAACTGAGACATTTGGACTTTGAACGGTGGATTGGGAAGCTCCCTGGTATCGCCGTGACTAGCTGATGAGGAATGAAACACGAATGAAAGTTACAGGTAGGCTGAAAGCGACACCTCCTTCAGGTTTGAGATCTCACCCCGCTCGGACAATGACCCGGAATGTCGGCGGAAAACAAAAAATGCAGAGAACAGTAGCCGAGTTGATGGATGGAGCTACCGCGCGGCGTTTCCGCTTACTGATTTTGACGGTGGAATTAGCGTAAATTAGACGAATGTTTTACAGATTAATTGCATTCTATATTACCCTAAGCCGTTTTGTTTGGTTCTAAAGTGACTGATAGCACAATCTATCAAAAGAGACCAGGGCGCTATGAAATTTGTCTCAAAATACTAAAAACAAATGAATTCCTGATTTCTGTTTCTTTCCCTTGAAGATTTGATAGTGGGTACTTTGAGGTATACAACAAGCTAAGGGACACCAGCTTTCTTTGTTTATATCATAGGATTAACTTCAACTTTATTTCCTCAATGCTATTGTAGCAAAGACGAGCACATTTGAATCATATGTTCGCATTTCGTTAATATTGCATTCGCTCCTCTGTTTATGTTTTTGGATAACTAAGCGTGGATATTTCAGCCTTGATAGTTTGCTTCATATATTAGGCCAATGCAAAATCAATGCATTTTCCTTATCCTGGAGCGGAGAAAAGATATATAGGCTGTACCAACCAGCATCGGTCATGCGACGTCGCGCCTGCGGCGACTGGCGACGATGCGATCTGGCGCGCGCGAGCTCTGCCACGCGTTATGGCACGCCGCATGCGACGGTGCGTCGTCGCAAGGCCTGCTGGCGCGGGACCGATGCCGGCTGATACAGCCTATACAATTGTCTGGAACATATTACACGATGGAGCAAAGCAAGCTTTATAAAGTGATCTTCAAATAGTCGCGGAAAGTTTGATAGTCGGCGAGGTTGAAAAAAATGTAGAAATTTTCAAATGTCAAAAATCGGAACTCTGCCCAGAAATTTCCTAAGATTTTCGATTTGTTCAAGAGAGTTCCCTGTCGCATCAGCTAACAGTATTATTTTTACGTATCTTTTCCTGGCCAAAGGTTTGTGAACACAAGAATGACTTGAAAATTGCTCTAGCAAAAACAATGCTGGGCAGTTCCACTTATGAACCTACCCTACACCCATGGAATTTAATAATCGTTTTTCAGCCTTTGGCAAAAGTTACTTACCGAGATAAATCAAATTCAACATAAAAACTTGCAAAAAGTAGACAACTCCCTATTTTGGGCTTATATTTATTCTCAAGTGCACATATGAATGCTTGGTATGTACTAGGCTGTTGCATAAGTTCTGTCCGATTTGAATTTTTGAGTTTAAAATGTCATAACTTCTTTCAGAGTCAACTTTTTTCCAAGGTCTTAGTTTCTATGTGTTGAGCAGTCCCTTGGCTAAAAAATGCATATTGAGATCTGCGCAAATCTTTGTTAAGGAAGAACCAAGAATGCAAAAACTTCGCAGCGTTTTTCTTCAAATCTGTCTTTTTTGACATGGTAACGCTCCCTTATGAAAATTGATAGGCATCTTTTCTAATAATGGATGGATAGAGAAATTTTCGTAGATTATTACGCAACATAAAAGAGCCCATAGGGTTTGCGCTGCCGAGAGATTTTTTTGACCGAACAAAAAATTAGCCACTTTTTGACCTCGCCTCAGCACATGTGTGCATGCCTATTTATGAACTACGAACGTTTTACAACTGACGTGAGCGCCGAAAAGGAATTGGTGGATGGGCCCTGTTAGCTCTTGCTTTGCCCTAGCACCTCCAACTTTGAGCTTGTCGATTACTTCTATTCGCAGAAAGTTATTGCTTGTAAAACATCTATACCAAAGATTTATGTTCGAGGATAAATTTCACTAGCAAGACGTATTCTTCATGGGACCGAACTTCTGCATATACTAGCATTCCATACCCTTATTCCGAAGCCAATGAAAGAACCTGACTTGAAGGGCGCATTGTGGAGATATCCTCGCAAGGACATATTTCTAGGGATAGAACGTACCTCGGCCACTTAGAGATTTTAGGCCTGTGATCTCCGTACACTAAGAATTTTATTGAATTCTGGTATGCTTTGGAAAGCGCAAGGAAAGCACTTTTCAATGATACCAACCGTATCGAATTAGAGATGAAATTCTCTTAGAACAGCTGCTTCAAACATGAGGCAAAAAAATCGGACAGAACTTATGCAACAGCCTAGTATTATGCGTGACCATGTTAAAGGTTAGCAGGATGGGTATATATCTTTGCATAAATCAAGTTGTTCTTGTTTTTCTAGCAGACTCAGTGTATCATCGAATGAGCGAAGCAAGCTCTACAAAATGACAACCAAAGGTCTGCCTAATTCATAATCCAGGTAAAATTTGGAGCCAAAAAACAATGTTACGGCTACCCTAAAAACTGGATCTCCATCCAGATTTTCTACGGAACTCCAACTTGGTCACTATACAGTAGACACATGGTATTAGTCTAAAATGTGTTTGATTGTCACTTTTTTGTTTTTTTTTCAAATGTCAAACTTGGCATTTCTTCAAAACCAGGGCAGATACGCAGGTAATTTTGAGACTACATTTACAAATCTTTGTAGTATACACATGTGGGAGGGACTGGGGGCAGAGTTTGCCACATTTGAACTACCCTCTTCGCTTCCTAAGCGCGGAAAAAAAATCCAGTAAAGGCATAATTGAGTACTGCTTTGTGTCTACTGTATAATGAACAAGTTGGAGTTACGTAGGATTTTTTTTCGCAAAAATCCAATTTTTCAGTTGATGAAATTTCTTTTCGATTTCGGCTCCACTTTCACTTGGATTACGACCGAATTTGTAGCGGTAGAGCTTTTGTAGAGCTTGCTTCGCTCTATCGAAAGTTTTCTAAGTAAGCTTGAAAACAAAAGAAGGAGTTTACTTTCGGGGCAACTTAATAAATTTTTTCATTTCTATCGTACTTCTTGTAAATCGAACCTTTTACAATTGTTCAAATACCAACCTATAGAGCTTGCCTTCCTCTACCGTAGGATATGTTTCAAACAAAAGTTTTTTCTGTCTCTGCAGGATAAAGGCCCTGCTGGTTCTGCATTTACCTAAGATTCGTACATTTTCTCGCCCTCTCTCGATGTCGAAGTGAATTGTGTTGTACTCTAAGAATGTTGGTACCGAAATCGTGCGACAAGAGCGAAATGCTCCTGGGTTAGACCTTATTTGAAGGCTAGCCTTCCCATACAGTACCTTGAAATCTGTACGAAAAGAGAGAGGCAGAGGCAATCAAACGAGAGCCGGTTTTTTGACACACCTCGCAGGTTATGTGTTAGTCTTTAAAATTATATGATAACCTCATCGTAATTTTCATTCACCAGTTTAGAATTATGGAAATTGACTTTATATACAACAATGAGTGCTCGAATAATGATACAAATAAAGAATGATCAGAACTACTCGTAGTATGTGAGCTCCAAGAAAAAAAAAGACTTTGCTTTATCGTCCTACTCCTAATCCACTTCCGACACCGATATCTCCCACTCCTGGTGCGGTAGCACCTACCCCTGATGAGAAGCCGAAGAGACCACCGTTACCTAAAAAATATATCTAAATTTCAAAAACATATAATCTCTAGCAGAGAATTTATGAGGAGTGGGAAAGAAGCTGGCACCCAAACCTAAGCCAGATAATGGTCCGCCGCCGATGCCGGACCGGGTGGGTACCCTGGCTCCACCTAACCCGGAAGGTCTGATATCTTCTTGTGGCTTCGGAGCGCCAGGTGCTATAGGTTGGTTAGCGCCAGAGGATATAGGCTGCACTTGTCCGGGGTCTCCGCTGTTGTCCACGCTGACTCGGGGTCCATGATTATCACCACTCGGACTTACTAAAGAAATTAATTAATTACTTTTGTCGTCTCAAATTTGCCAATTGACCGTTGGAAAAAAATTTGGTGGATATGAGATTCTATTACAATTTTGTACTTACCTCTACTACGAACATTGACAGCTGGAGCTGTAGCTGGCGTCTGTTTTTCTGAATTCGCTAATTCCGAGGGAGGTTTTGTGGCATCCTAAAATATTTTTAAGTCAGCAAATCCTCGAAAATACTGGCACTTTTCCGTAAGAAATTTTTTGATAATGTTAGCTCTTTCAAAGCTTACCTCCTCGTCTTCAAACTCTAGCTGCTCTTCGGATCCGCCCTCAGATTCCTTACCCTTTGGTTTCTGCTTGTTGTCCGTCTCTGGCAGCTCTTCGGTTTCTTCCTTGGGTTCCTTACCTTTTGATTTCTGCTTGTTGTCCGTCTCTGGCAGCTCTTCGGTTTCTTCCTTGGGTTCTTTACCCTTTGATTTTTGCTTGTTGTCCGTCTCTGGCAGCTCTTCGGTTTCTTCCTTGGGTTCTTTACCCTTTGATTTTTGCTTGTTGTCACTTTCTGGCGACTCTTCGGATTCTTCCTTGGGTTCCTTACCCTTTGACTTCTGCTTGTTGTCAACCTCTGGCAGTTCGAATCCACCCTCAGATTCCTTACCCTTTGATTTCTGCTTGTTGTCCGTCTCTGGCAGCTTTTCGGATTCTTCCTTGGGTTCCTTACCCTTTTCGGTTTCTTTGCTTACAAACTTTTTCTCCCATTCATCCTGTAAGTTAACGTAGTTGAAATACACTTGTGAAGAGCATGTTCCGCAGTCAAGTTGGTTGAGATCATTACCTCATCTTCCCAAGGATTTTTAGACTTGCTGGATTTTTCCTCTGGTTCCGATTTTGGCGGATGCTTTTCGATTGACTTCGATGGAGCCGATCTTTCCTCTTCTGGCTCTGATGATGGTTCAGGCTCTTCTAAAATGCTCATTACGAATTTTTTGCTTCTTCAGAGATTCGTCATGAGACATTTTCATATAAAGAAACAACTCCAAAACCTATCACTTTAATCTTAATGTGCTAACGTCTCTCATAAAGGCTTACTCTACAGATAATCAACTTCCGCGAAATCTCACTGAGAAATGTTGAAACAGTTAGTTGATCAGCGAAATTTTGGCTCTAAATTGAAAGATTCACTCGTATGTTGAAAGCACCTATTGAATCCGTCCAGCAGCTCGTTCACTTTTTTGGACCTATCCGCAATTCCCAGAGAGTGAAGATAGCTCCACATTTGGAATGTAGTAAGTGCATTCTCTTTTTTAAGAAACACATGTTTCAAGAAAAATTCTTCTGGTGTGCGCGAAAGCAAGCCTTATCTTCAAGGCATTTTATACCTTGTCCGAAAAACGGCCCCAACATTCGGACAAAACAAATCTGTCTGATGAGTAGTTATCAAGTGATATGACCCATTCTGTGTTGCAAGATTCAAAACACCAGCGTTCTCAACAATATCAGGGCAAAAAGATATCGAGATATAACTTTTCGTGGAACGTGGAAGGTCTAGGCAAGGACGGCTTCCCAATTTATTGATGGGTTGCAGCGAGTTCTGCCGAAATCAAGGGTAAAAGCGACCCAATCAGCGCAAGTTTGGAAACTGCACAGCACTGGAAAGAGCTCTCATTTAACGCCTGACCTTATACTCCTCAAGTTTAAGAGTTCTTGAGAGTTTACGCTGCTGAAGCGAGCCTAATGCACGAGATGCTACGATAGATAATCAACTTTTGCCAACTTTAGGAAGAAACTTTTGCTTTATAAAGCTCAAATATCTTAAGTTTCAGTATTGCGCACACTAACCTTAACTAACAAAAAGCCAGCTTAGAAGCCTACCTTCCGGCTCCTCTACAGCGGCTTCAAATCGGAACTTCTTCTTCTTATGACGTCTTCGTTTCTTGTGACGTCTAGGAAGCGAATCGCCATATCCACCAAATCCACCACCATATCCACTATCATATAAAAGAATGTATCCACCAGGGTAGCCACCACCAGTGTAGCCACCAACAGCGCTGCCATAGGAGCTGAAAATCTTAAATATCAAATTTACAAATCAAAACTGTGATTCTTATTCTTTGTAATTTGAGAATCCAAAAGTTCAAAGAATAGATGTATGTCAAAGCTTGCTAGAACTACGAAAACGTTAGAGGATATTATGTAGCCGAGGGGGGGGGGGGTCGTGAGAGGACATCTGTAACAAACCAGCCGCTCGACACATTTATTTCCTTGTACCAGATGTACCGCGGCTGGAGCTTATCGGCAACACATCATCTACTCTAACTGTTTCGTTGGTAATGTAGGGATTTTTTTTGGAGAATCAAAAATGTATTCCATATGAGATTAATTTCAAAGCGAATTGGAAAACATTCATTTTTTATTGAGAGTAGTTTCGACAGGTGAAGCAAGGGCAGTGTCCACAGATTCGCGCTCTGGGGGACATTGATATGTTGGAGTTCCTGGTCACCCCACTGACCTCCAGGCGCAGTCCGACTGGTTGATGTCCCTCCTGGGCCGAAAAAATAGCCCTTGAACCGGCGCAAGCAACCCTAATCGGCGCGCGCTCGGACGACCTCGCTTGCCGTTCGGTGCGGGAGCCCACGATTGCTCTTCCGCATCGTGCATGCTATCTAAAGCAAAAATTACAGGCAGCAGGGTCTTCGTGGCAGGACCTCCAAACTTTCCATTGAAATTCTCGTCCGAGCTGCTTTCTGGAAACTGGGTAAACGCCCCGAAAAGGTCTTTTCACCCGTTTCAAAGCTCAAATTTGGGATCTACGGGTCGAGAAGGCCCATAACGTGCAGAAAGACAGCAATGCAAAATCTGCCGGGACACTGCCTTTAAGGAATTTGCTTACCCGCAGAACGAAGGGCACTGACATTGTCTATACAAGGCTGGCTGAGAACATGCGTACCCTCCTAGAGATCCGTAAAATTCTGGAAAATTGAGTCTATGCATACTGTAACACAGAAATAATAGTAAAGTTACGTGCTAGTGCAGCTCCTGCATAGGAAAGAAGTAGAACAGACACCCACGACGAACTCATGGCGAGTTATTCGATTTGTGGGGATTGACCTTGTAATGAAAAACGGGGCGGAGTGCGGTCTCGGATCATAGCAATCACTGTAGGGGCGAGACAACAGCAACTTTCTTTCTGTGTTTCGTACTTGACACTTGTTTATTGCGATGTAACTACGAGGCACGAGATCAATGACAGATTGACAATGAAGCCGCTTAAAACCGATTATTAATCAAAATTACAAGATGGCGAGGAGTAGAGGGCGAGCGCGAATGTCGACCTGATTTATTGTTTGGCCTGTCGACTTTTTCTTTTAAGAAGATAAATTGATGTAAACATTCTTTATTCTTTACCCTACAAAAGTAGTATTTCAGTTTTTTTGTTCGCCGTAATTGCAACAGTCTTCCTTAGTCTTTGAATCAAAAAATTGTTCACAAAATTTTTTACCATCTCAATGTAAGAGATGTTAAGTTCTCAAGCAAGTTTCATCACTGCATTTTGAATTTTTGAGAATCTTTGCCAGATTTTCTATTTTCTTAAAGTCTACAACTTATAACGCTAACTGTATCGTTTTTTTTCAGTTGTTTTTTCATTCTTTTCATTTATCTCGAATTTCTCCCTTCGGCAGAGAGGTTGACTAGCTAGGCACAAACAATGCTCAATTAAAGGTAAATCGGGACTCAAATATTTTTTCTCAGTCGACGATTCTGACGTATTCTTTTGAAACAATCTGCTGGAATGCGTTGCGAAAAAGAGAGTTTACTCTTTTAAGTGAAGTTTGGATCAGTTGTCAGACCAAACCGGACCAGGCTTGCCTTTACGCTCTGTTTCTCAAAAGAGGAGTCAGATTTTTGCAGCACACTTGCTCCCAAAAATGAGTTTTTCAAAAGAATTTTTGGGACCTGACCCAAAGACGACGACGAATTCATTAAGACGAGGCTCTACTCCTTCCCCGAGGCCATAATTGCATAAATTATGACTTTCCCATAAAAAAGTTAGTTTTTTTTTCAATCTTGCTGTGCTGTACAGGTTTGTTGGGATGGTATATTTTTTCGTATCCGCCTAACGTTTCGGCAGTATCGCTGTCCTAGAGCCTGTAACCTGCACCTGAAAACCCCCCAAAGCATCACCTCTACCATCGGACCATTGTTTCAAATTCAATTCGCGAGAACTCTGCAAAGAGAATGAACCTACCGTTACACCACCTATATGATGTGTCCGCACTGGAAGGAATAGACAGAACGACCGGAAATTACTGAAAGAAGCGGACAAGTGAGCAATATTGTAGAAAGTGGGCAGAGGATATGCTATCTACTACCCGCAGCTCACATAGGCTACGAACGGCAGAAAGTCGGCTGTAAGACAAGCATTCGTTTTTATTATCCACTAGCTGGCTTACCCGGCTCCGCCGTATCCGGACCAAACTTGGCACACATACACTTCGGGCCCCGGCGGGTGTCACAGTCCACTTTTCGTTATCGATCGATGTCGATTTTACCGATTTTTATCGATTTTTTTGCAGAGTTCACCTACAGGGCTAGGAGTTGGCACAGGGGGGTAATCGAGCATGGGAATTCCGAATACAATATTAGTTTTCAGAATTATCGATTACTTTTATTGATTTTATCGATTTTTTGTAAATTTTGACATGCGAGGCTGGGATTTTGCACAGGGGGGTAATCGAGCATGGGAATTCCGAATACAATATTAGTTTTCAGAATTATCGATTACTTTTATTGATTTTATCGATTTTTTGTAAATTTTGACATGCGAGGCTGGGATTTTGCACAGGGGGGTAATCGAGCATGCTAATTACGAACACAATATTAGTTTTCAGGATCGTCCATTACTTTTATCGATTTTATCGATTTTTTTGTAAAGTTTGACCTGCGGGGCTGGGAGTTTGCACAGGGGGGTAATCGAGCATGCTAATTACGAACACAATATTAGTTTTCAGGATCGTCCATTACTTTTATCGATTTTATCGATTTTTTTGCAAAGTTTGAGCTACGGGGCTGGGAGTTGGCACAGGGGGGTAATCGAGCATGGGGATTCCGAATACAATATTGGTTTTCAGGATTATCGATTACTTTTATCGATTTTATCGATTTTTTGAAAATTTGAGCTAGGGGGCTGGAATTTGGCACAGGGGTGTAATCGAGCATGCTGATCACCCCCCTTGGGAATGATCAGCATGCTCGATTACCCCCCCCTGTGCGAACTCCCAGCCCCGTAGCTCAAACTTTGCAAAAAAATCGATAAAATCGATAAAAGTAATCGATAATCCTGAAAACCAATATTGTATTCGGAATCCCCATGCTCGATTACCCCCCTGTGCCAACTCCCAGCCCCGTAGCTCAAACTTTGCAAAAAAATCGATAAAATCGATAAAAGTAATCGATAATCCTGAAAACCAATATTGTATTCGGAATCCCCATGCTCGATTACCCCCCTGTGCCAACTCCCAGCCCCGTAGGTGAACTCAGCAAAAAAATCGATAAAAATCGATAAAATCGATATCGATCGATGACGAAAAGTAGCCTATGACACGCGCCGGGGCCCGAAGTGTATGTGTACCAAGTTTGGTCCGGATCGGTTCAGAAATGGAATTTTCTATTCGGAACATACGTACACACAGACATACAGACAGACAGACAGACATACAGACAGACAAACAGACATTCAGCTTTATATATAAGATTTCTGGGTTTTTTGAAGATATTCAGAAAGATCCTAGTGCCTCTTAGCCGAGATCTCTTTTTGCAGCTTAAGATTTTGCATCTGACTCTGAAATCTGGGGCCGTATTCATCAACGAACCCAGTGGGTTCCGGAACCCATTGGGTTCGCGAACCCACTGGGTTCGTTTGTGAATACCGGTTAAGTGGCTTTTTGTGGGTTCTGGAACCCACTGGGTAGGCTCAACCCACTGGGTTCCGGAACCCACTCTTTCGTGAATACCGATTTTGTGGGTTGAGCCTACCCAATGGGTTCTGGAACCCACTGGGTTCGTTGATGAATACGGCCACTGTTCCATTATGCGCTCCGTCTTTATGTCTTCCCAAGCATGTTGCTAAGCTCTTGCGTCTCATGTTTGCCAGATATTCAAAGGCATCTGATGAGTTGATGTTGGAGTTGATGCTTTGGGTTGTTTTTAGGCCTCTGAGGACAGCGAAGGCGCCGAAACGTCAGCCCGATACCAATAAATATACCATTCACAAACCTGTACGGCACAGCAAGATCGAAAAGTATCAGCAATGCCCAGGGTTTAAGCATATTGGAGCTTGGAAATTAGTTCTTTGTCACTTGCTTTCAAAGGCAAGTTTTCTGTAAATTTTTATGAAGTTGCTGTTTTGAGAGAGTTTACAAAGATTTTTTTGACTTTGTCCAGAATGCGAAGATGAATTTTCCTAAATAAGGTACTACTCTCCCACCGCTTCAAAACCGTACTGGCTTAAGCGCTCAAATCCCCAGTAGAAAAGTCTCATTTTTGGACCGCATCTGCTCTCAAAGCGAGTTTCTCACGAAATTTCTTGAGATTTATGCTTAGAGTTTGTTTCATTAGAAAGGACGAACTTTCTAGAATAAACTTGCCCTCTTCCCCCCCCCCCCCTTCTGCGAAGAACTTACTTGCTTGAGCCCTTACATCTTCAATAGAAAACCAAAGTTGGATTTGCAGCACATGTGTATTTTCTTGAAATTTGTACTGAAGACGGCTATATTTTTTTTCAAAACAAAGTTCTAATCCGCGGAGCTCAAAGACTCCAGACCATACTTGCCCATAAAACAAAGCAATGCAGTCTCATAACCTTCGGAAAAGATCTACAGAGTCAAGTAAGAGCTTCATGCGCTTGCGTTACCTCTCTCTTGGGAAATAAGTACCAAAACGCATATCTACGCTTCTGTGGGGAAATAGAGCTTTCTAAGTCAATTTGGAGAAAAAGGGAAAGGACATACATGGGTAGGCCTTAACGACGAATCCAATGGCACGCTTGGCTTCTCGCCATCTTTACTCTAAATGCAAGTTTTGCCCGATCTTCAGATCGGGCATCAGATTCAGCCAGGACCCGGCACGAGTCGGTTTCTAGGGTTTCTGACAACGAAGTCTCCCCTGACTTTCGGAAGCGTTACGAAGTCCTCTTTGACCTACCTATTTAGGAGGAGACGAAAACAAGAAAAATTTATCAATCTGAAAGAAAAAACGTGAGATAAGAGTGAAAATCCAATTTGGAGCTGAATACTACGCATGCTCAAGAGTTTGGCATTGAGCGCAATATGTAACAAAGCTATCTATGGAGAAATTAGGGCAAAAAACAAAGGAAAGGCAATGATATGAAAATGGCTTTATGCTCAGGGATAGACTTTTGACCGGGGAGCTGTCCATATAGAAAATTCAAAACTCATGTGAAATGACAGAAATATATGCTCCAGATGACCTCAGATCGTCTGGTGACCGTCTGGTGACGGACTAATTCTGGAAAAACTGGAAAAAGTAACACTTCACATGAGTTTTCAAATCTTTTTGCATAATTCTTTTGCAAATAATATTTCAAGTATACAATTCAATTTTGGTGTCGTATGATTCTGTGTGGCTGTAAACAAGTAATTTGTTTATTTAAGCTTTGCATAGTCTCGCGCACTTTTCACGATTGAGCATGTTAGTCGTGTGATAACCTGTCCGAAAAGCTTGTGTTCGACTAAATGGCACTTATTCTTGATATTCGGATTCGACTCGTCAAAAACGATATCTTCTTTGCTTTTTGCTCCAGAAATGATGTCCAGCCATTCCAAACGATCTTGCCGCGCACTGAATTCAGCCAATTAGCTTGGAACTTTTAGTGTAGTGTTTAAGTCCCACACTGATAGTATCCAAAATTTTAGCGGTTCAGCTTTCTTAGAACTCAAGTTGTAGAAAATCCAGGAATTTACAGTATAAAAAACCCTGAATCAGGATCGGGGTATGGTACCGATGAAGTCCAAGAAACTGTGGACAGTAAGCAGTTAGCACAGTAATACGCCTGCAAAATCTGCGCCTTCCAATTTCATTTCGTTTTGTGCAATATATTGCACGGTCATTTTTACCCAAAAAAGTGAGTGACTCCCTGACTTTGATTAAAAAAAAGGAAATTTATCTCAGCGCTATACCTTCTGCCTTGGAGTCTACCATTAAAGGCAGCGTCCTGGCAAAAACTCGATTTTGAGATTTTATACTTAATCGGCCTACTCGTTATGCTGTATCCGCAAATTCACACCGGAGAACGCGAACGCAAGAAGGAAATCAGCAAGTAGGCGGGGTCTTTCCAACTGTAATCTCGCGCTCTAGCTTCCGGAGTGATCTACTCGTTTCCGCAAGCCGTCCTCCGGCCAAGCGCAAACGATTGACTTGAAACCCGAACCAAGAAAATTCACTTGCTAATTTCCCTCCTGCTTTGGATTCCTTTTCCGCTGTTTTCGGTCTCCGGTGTGCTTTTTCAGATTCAGCTCGGCGAATAGGCCCGGGTAAGCACAAATTGTCAAAATCAAGTTTTTGCCCGGAAACTGCCTTTAAACTTCGTGGATTTGGTAACTGTCTTCTCACTCATCGCGGCACTGCTATTATTGTCTTTTCGTATTTTCTATACGTGTTGCTCATTATTCCTAGTTGAGATGACTAGCTGTGCATATCCGTGAAAAATGCGACAAGAATCCATAATCTCAAACAAAATCGGTCAAGGCTCTAATTTGTGGTAAAACTTGGCCAATTGTCGGCCCAATAATCATTGTCAATTGTTTATAACACCAAGTTTATTAGTGCCGCATTACTTATGCATCGCTCTTGAATCTGCATTTTCTCATTCTTCAGTAAAAAACTAGCTAAGTCTATGTCTTTACACACAATAGTGATAAAAGGAGAAGGAAAATGGCAAAAAACAGAACGCTAAAAATGTGCTATTGTTACGTACAAGAATAATTTTCATGAAACGACTTCAATACGTTGCAAATAGATGATTACAACTACCCATAGTACGTGAACTCCACGGGGAAAAAGTGCAGTTGTTTATCGTCCTATTCCTAATCCACTTCCAACACCGGTAGGTCCTAATCCTGGCACGCCGACACCTATCCCTGATGAAATGCCGAAGAGACCGCCTTTACGTAAAAAAATATATTCTCTCGCAAAAAATTTGTGAGGAGTGGGAAAGAGATAGCCAGCACCTAAACCTAAGCCATCTGATCCGGACGATCCGCCGCCTCCACCGGATCCGGATGATACTCCGGCTCCACCTAACCCGGGAGGTCTATTTTCTCCACCTGACCTCGAAGATCCAGCGGGTATAGGTTGCACTTGACCGCCGTTTCCAGTGTTGTCAACGCTGACTGGAGCCCCACGACCACCAGCATCACCAGTCGGACTTGCTAAAAAACAAAGAATATTTCACACTTCTGCCGTCTCAAATTTGCCAATTGACCTTGAAAAGATACCATATGGATATGGTTTATGATTTCTATTACAATTTTATATTTACCTCTACTACGAGCATTGATAGCTGGAGCTGTAGCCGGCGTCTGTTTTTCTGAATTCGCTAATTCCGATCAGGACTTTGCGGGGATCATCTGAAATTGAATTCTCAAAACCTTTGAAAATGGTGCCCACTTTACCGTAAAAAAATCTTTGGTAAAAGGTCAACTCTTTCAAAGCTTACCTCCTCGTCATCAATCTCTGGCAGCTCCTCGGATCCACCCTCAGATTCTTTACTCTTTGATTTCTGCTTGTTGCCAGTCTCTGGCAGCTCTTCGGATCCATCCTCTTGGCCTTCCTTGCCCTTTGATTTGTTTTTGTTTACAAACTTCTTCTCCCACTCATCCTGGAAAATAAGGTGATTAACATACATTGGAAAGAGCACGTTCAGCAAAATTGGCCGAACATTAGTACCTCGTCTTCCAAAGAATGTTTAGACTTGCTGGGCTTCTCCTCTGGCTCCGATGATGGCTCAGAAAGCTCTTCTAGAAAGCTCATTATAAATTTCTTGTCACTTTACAGATTTATCATAAGAAATATTCACTAAAAAATTAATCCTATCACACTTTTTTTACCCCAGTATCTCTTAAAATGGCCTTACAAATGATCACTCTTTTTCTGACTGTGTGGATCCAAATAAACAGGGCTCGGTAAAGGTGGCTTATAAGTAAGCTGGATATCATTTTTGGGAAAAAGCAAAGCGGATCTCGTTTTTTGTGGCCGAAAAAAACAGCTTAGGTTACGTAGTCTTTAAGCAAAGTTTTATATTTTTTAGGCTTATTTGCGTATAGGGTTTAGGGTCAAAGGGGAAGTCGTAAAATTTTAGGAATGTCAAGAGGGATGTACATCGGAAAGGTCTGGAACAATGTGGTAAATTATTGGAATTCTGTTCACTAGGGCGTACATTGTACGCACCATTTGGGTAGTTCCACATTTCAAAATGTGTTCAATGCATTCTCCCTCTTCCCAAGCTAAATAAGTTTTGAGCAAAATCATCTTGATGAGGGATTATGAGTTCAAAATTTCCAACATTTCTACCTGTCCAACTTCAACTTTCATTACAATTTCTAATTTACTTTCAAAAAAGTTAATTAACCAGTAGAAAGAGCAAGGCTTACTCTGAACTCTTTAGCTGCCCTTTTTTTGAGGAAGATTTCTAAAAGTATTAAACACCGAGGAATTCCTGTTATTCATGAATTCACCAGATACTCAGACGCCTAAAGTTGAAATTCTTCAATTTTGGTTACTGCTGACATTGACTTTCAAAAAGGAATGGGCATTCACGGCTTGAAAATGTGAAAATCCTGATTATTCCGATTTGATCGTATGCACCTTTAAAAATGCAAAGACGGGCAGGAGCTGCTTTGAATGACACTTAAGTCGCTGATCGTTTATGTTTTACGATATTTATAAAATTGAATATGAACTACGGTGACTCTAAATTTGGAGGAATTCTGCAGGGTCTGATTAGGTTTGCTTTAGGCCCCGGACAGACTTCACGCGATTTGATCGTCGCGACTGAATCGCGACGAGGCAACTGTTACAGCATCATTCCATGCCGATCAACTTGCATTTCGGTTGTGATACTTTTCTAGTCCGAAATTTTTGAATGTGAAATGAAAATGAATGGAAATGTCAGCGATTGACGATCAAATTGAGTCGCGACGATCACATCGCGTGAAGTCTGTCCGGGGCCTTATCCTTTAATTTACTAGATCACAACAAAATTTATTTACCCGCAAAACGTAGGGCACTGACACTGTCTATACAAGACCGGCTGAGAACATGCGCACCCTCCTAAAGATCCGTAAAATTCTGAAAAATCGTATTTACGGCATACTGTAGCGCGGGAACTAATATAAACTTACGCGCTAATGCAGCTCCAGCATAGAAGAAAATTAGAACAGACACCAAAGACGGACTCATAGTGAATTGCTCCATTTGTGAGGATTGACCTTTCAACGGAGTACGGTCTCGGATTATAGCAATCACAGGTCGACGGCAAAACAACAGCGCCTTTCTTTCTCTGTTTCGTAGGTGACACTTGTTTACTGCGATGTAACTACGAGGCACGAGATCATTTTCACAAAGTCCTTGAAAACGGATATTAATAGCTATTACGTGGAGGGGGGAGGGGAGCGAAAATGCCAAAGTCGACTGATTCATTTTGTTAACTTTCCCTCTAACATGAGAAGTGCAAGAACTCAATTTCTATAAGTATTCTTGCTTGCCATAATTGCCGCAAGTCAGGGCTCAGCACGAGGGTCAAATGGACGTCGGTGAAAGGACTTTGCCTTTGCCACTATCGATTTTTACAATTGCCCTTGATCTCGCTAGCTGCATAGGCTGTTCGATTGTGGCGCCCTTTCTTCCTTAAAAGAACCGTCGTTACTAATCCGGAATCCGGATCCTAACAAGAAGGAGAGGAGGAGTATTGGAATCAAAATTTTACTATATACTAAGCTTCAAATGCAGAGCATATACAAATAAAAAGTTTGTAAAACTTCGTGAAATGGAAGTTTTGCCTACTTCAGACGGGCATTGAATGGGCAATTGCTAACCTAATTTGGAGAAAAATTAAGCACACTTTTTACCACTTGAGTTTTTCATAATTTTCCCTTTGTTCCTTACTCCTAATACGCGCATACACACCAAATCCCATGCCATAATTGTCATCTGTGCGTTGCAAACGAGCCATTTTGTCATTTTGTGGTAGAAAAAAATTTTCAGAAAAGAAGCTCGCCAGAACTTCTAGTCACATAACTTTTCCACAATAATCTGCATAATGCTCCTCCTAGTCCATGTCCGTTTACCATATTCTTGACCACATAGTTGTGCGTGCGCTGTAACGAGACATTTGTTCACAAGTCAATGGAAAATTTGGACTTTTGTGATGATGAGCTTTTTGAAGGGCAAGATTGTATTTTGCATGTTGTCAAGAGTGTACAGGGCTTACCAACTGCAATGTGGGTGCACCAGCTCTCTGCTCAGGGCCCGACACAGATCGTCTGGAAGCAGGCTGGACTTCGTTTTGAAGCAAACAGCAAAGGGGATATCGTTTTTGACGAGTTGGGCCGAGCGCCAATTAGTTGAACACAAGCTTTTCGGACAGGTTATTACACGATTGAAATGCTCTATCGTGCATGGCGAAAAGTGCGCGCGATTTGAAAGCAAGGCCTAAATAAAGAAATTGCTTGTTTACAGCGCACACAGAAGCGTATGACACCAAAATTGAATTGTTTGTGTAGAAAATTATTTGCGAAAGTATTATGGGAAAAGATTTGAAAACTTATGTGAAGTAATACCTTTTCCAAAATTAGATCCTCTCCAGACGGCCATTAGACGATCTGAGATCGTCTGGAGCATATATTTTCGTCACTTCACATAAGTTTTGAATTTTTCTATCATGCTCCGGTCAAAAATCTATCCCTGAGCTTGAAGTCATTTCCATATCATTGCCTTACCTTTTTTTTCTGCTTTCATTTCTTCTCGCTTTGTTAAATATCGCGCTCTAATGCCAAAGTCCTGTGCATGCATAGTATTCAGCTCCAATTTGGATTTTCACTCTTATCTTACGTCTTTTTTTTTCAGACTAGTAAATCTTTCTTGTTTTCTCTTCTTCTAAGCAGGTAGGGGACTAAGGGGACTTCGTAAAACTTCCGAATGTCAGGGTAGACTTCGTTTTCAGAAACCCTAGAAACCGACTCAGGCCGGACCCTGTCTCCGCTCCCGCGCGGCCGCCTCACCTGGACTCTGCGCCTTTTTCACGAGCATGCTCTCTGATCACCTTCCCACCGCGAGCGTGGGAAAGGCTGAGCCTCAATCTATTGAAATGGCCAGAGAACATGCCCGCGGAAGAGGTGCAGAGTTCCGCGCGGGAGTGGAGATGCTGGTGCATCCAACACTGCGATTGATAAGCCCTGTTTGTACAAGTAAACCTTTATTTACGATAACTCTTTGCTTTCCATCCAAAACGATTTCCTAAGTGTCCACCAGTGCAGGGCCCTGCCGCAACTCCTTGCACTCGTTGTAATAGACCTTGTTCATGTAAACTTCTCATCTTGATAAAAACATACCAAATTTTCACCCATCTTCCATCGTGCCATTCTGATACTTTCAGAAAGTACATGAAAGATTTTCTACCTTTTTCTAAGTTTATGTTAGAACTTATAACGCTAAGCGCTTCGAATTTCATTCACCGTTTTCTTATTTTCTGCATTTTTTTTCTTATCGAAATTCTCAAACAAAGAGGTCGATTATCGAAGTGTGGAAAATTTCCTATCTCTCTGACATTTTTTTTAGAGGAAAGCGCTGAAAATGCATCACGAAGTGAATGTTAGAAAACTTTCATTTCTTTCGGGTGATCCTGGTAGATGCTGTAGAATATGGAATGCTTCCTAATGAAGCTCAAATGCTGTAAATAATCCCATCAGGAAAAAAACAAAACTCTCAAAGTGTTTCTGCTAAAAGAGTAACTCGATATCTGAAGCTCTACAGTCTGTCCCTGTCGAGATTTAGCGGAACATGTCGTAAATCTGTGCGCGCAGCGCCAGTATTCTACTCTGCATTGCGCTCTGTCGAGAGAGCGAAAAGACGTGACACAATACGCTTGCGACATGGGTTTACCGCCATGCCAATTTTGACCTAACCGGGATTAGGACAAAATGTAGCTTTCATAATTTGTTTGAACATACCGCCTCTACATTCACTCTCATCCGTAATGGAGCAGAAAATGTGCCGGGACGCAGCCATTGCGACTCCCATGGCTGCAACGGCGTATCCCCCCCCACGTTCTCCTGCTCTAATAAAAACGAGACTTCGAGGGGCGGCTATGTGCGAAACTGTACTTATTGTCTCTTTCCAGAAGCGTATTTTGCAATCGCAGTTGGGCCATGTTCTGCTTGGGGAACCCGCTTCAAAAATCTGTCGGAAGTGAGATGCTGCCAAATCTTTTTTGACACTGTCTTCAGAGGCAGCGTCCGCGCCTATCGACATCTGATTTTGAGAGGTTAGTTCAAACATTGTCCCCGTCTTTAGCAAAAGATTGCATCGACTCAGGGTTTTGCGCAGAGATCTATCAACTATAGATCAACTCGTCGCAAAATACGATAAGGAGGTCTGTTTTTCAGAAAAAGCTGTCTTCTCCCTACGGATTTCTGTTAGAAAGGGTAGATTGTAGGTTGTAGGTTGTAGGTTCGTAATCTTTAAGTGACTGAGTTTTACTTTTCTAAATTCGCTGATTTACAAGAAGCCACACAAACTTTTCGACGTCAGTGAATCGCCGAAGTGGACTCAATGAAAATCAGGACCTGCCAGAGCACAGAAGACATTGAAGGTAAATTCGTGACTTTCCAGTTTGTCATCCATTGATTTTCAGTCTAGAATTTGGTTTTGATAGGATATGGGATTAAAGGGATCTTGTACGAGGCGACTGATGTGCTGGAGAGCGCCTTCTACATAAACCTCGGCTCCAGTGATCCGGAGAGAGGAACTATTTGAAAAGCTACGATGCTAGAAAAAGGAATGGGGCTCTTATGTTTTTACGCCTTTACAGAAATCGCTGTGAATTCTTACTCTTGAATATTTCGTTTCTTTGAACTAGAAGTTTCAATTTGGTCGTGACATACGTTGCACCTTTTCGTGGATGGATCCCCTCAAACGTAAGTTGGTTTACTGCCATGATATAAATCATGGCAAGTCTATATTAGAGATGGGCCAAGAATCCAGTGGCGGAAAATGACTATTCCCCTGCACCTTGCCCCTGCGGCAAAACTGGACCGCAGTCATGACTCCATCTCCTGAGAAGGTAGAGATATGATAGATTTTTGAGGTAAGCAATTACGGTTTTTTTATTCGATTATAATATTGTTTGTCCTCATGACTCCCTTTTTCGAACGGATGTATTCTTTATTCATCCCATGCCTTGGCTGAATGTTCGTTCATTTTCCCAAACTACTCATTATGTTCACTTCGTTCATCTTTATTGAGGCCTTGAAAACTTTCTGGATGATTGCGCAGATAAACAATTGTAGTTTTACATGGTGTTATTGCCTGAAAGTGTAGAAGTTGGATGCTGCCTGAGGGCATGTAAACGAGGGTTTAGGGCGGAGTGAAAATGAATTTAACTGAAGCTTATTGGGTTTGCGCTCATAGATCGCGCATTTACCGGGAACGTGCAGAGACAGCCTCGGCGGTCATTCTCAGACAATCGCCGGGGCAGACAGTCCGCAAACTCGCGCTTTTCTGCAAGCGGTCAGCAAAATTTTGGGGCGTGGCCAACCCTTCAGCGAGCGGTACTTCCGTTTTCTGTCAGCGGGCAGGCAATACAAAATCTCCTGCAAGCGCACGTCAAATAATCTCTCTCAGCGAGCGCTGGCCAAACTTTCAGCAGTCGCTCGGACTCTTTCTAAGCAGTTTCGGGCGTACGCCGAGCAAAGGTGAGACTCTATGAGGCAGAGGTGTCATCGATGTTTAATTACCCGAGTTTCAGGCACTTTCTCTTAGCGGGAGGTAAATACGGGCTGTGCGGTCCTCCACAAAGGACCGCGCGGCCATCAATAATTTTGCATATTCTCGCGGAAAGTCCGCGAGAATGCGGCCAATGCGCCGCAACTAATCTGTAAAAAAATCCCGATACTTTTGCGAGCATTCGTCCAAAAATTAGCCAACATTCTTCCAAATTTCTGCAAGCGGACCGCAAGAAATCAGCGTATTCTTCCGGTGCCCGCTTGTCCAAAAATCGCATGCCCGCCTGCCCCCGGCGATTAACTGAGTTCGAGCGCTTATCGGCGCATCCACGGGTATTCTGTGAAGCTCAGCGTACGTTTCTTCTAATACTCGCAGCATGGATGAAACGGCCTTCCGCGGTGGTCGCAATAATTGTCTGAGTGTATATTCGCCATAAATCGCCCTCGATCATGATTAGAATTTTTTTGTCACTTCTATCTACAGGCCCATGTTTCGTCATTTAAGAACACTCGTATTGACGGAAGAAGCAACCTTGGTCGCTTCTTCTTTAGTGCAATTTTCATGCTTCGGAACTCATCTTTTGCAACGGGAATTTGGTATCATTAAGGTACAGTTGCATTGTACATCACGAAATCGAAGTAGAGGCACCGTTTTACCCCAAGAGTATATTCTAATTTTCCAACATAAAATTAACGAAGCATGACTTTATAAACGGCATTGACGAAGGAAAAAGGACAGCGACAATGTGCTTATGAGAAATTTTACAAGAAAAATCCTTACGCACATGGCTTAAATATGATAACTACTCGTAGTGTCTGAGCTCCAAGAAAAAAGTGACGGGTGAATTTGCATTATCTAAATTTAGTCCATTTGCAACACCGATAGGTCCTAGTCCTACTCACGTACGTCGACACCTTTACCTGAAGAGATGCCAAAGGACCGCCGTTACCTAAAAAAAATCAATTCTCATGTCATCAGCTTGAACACATTTTCTAGCAGAACATTTGTGAGATGTGAGAAAGGGATAGCACCTAAAACTAGGCCAGCTAATCCGGACAATCCACTGCCTCCACCAAACTCTTAAGATCTGCTTCCTCCGCCTAACCTTGAAGATCCACTAGCTGCAGATCAGCCGCCCCCCGTGTTATCCACACTGACTGGACCTTGACCGCCAGGTTCTCCTCCCGGGCTTGCTAGAGAAATGTATACGATTGATTCAGCCTTGTCATAGAAATAATTCACGTATTCTAGGTGTTACTCACCGCTACTATGGGTATTAACAGCTGGAGATAGAGCGGAAGTCTGCTCATTTGATTCTGATTCTACCTTGTCCGCGCGATCTTTTGCAGCTGCTGGACCTTTTGCAGATGTTATCTAAATTTTAGAAACTCAAAAGCGTAGAGGTGCCGAGGCCGCAAAGATGCCGTTAACTGAAAATTAGCGTACGTCCTCATCATCAATCTCTGGCAACTCTTCGGAACCACCTTCAGGTTCCTTACTCTTTGATTTGTGGCTCACAAATTTCTTCTCCCATTTATCCTGGAAGTTCGTTCGGTCACAAAATAGTGCATTAGAGGCAAGTTTGGCAGTCAGTTTAGAGAAAGTTCGCACCTCATTCTCCCAAGAATGTTTAGAGTTGCTCGACTTTTCCTCTGGCTCCGATGGCGATGGACGTCTCTCCTCTGGCTCTGATGGATGTTCGGGTAGTTCCTCTAAAATTTGCGTCGAACATCGATGCAAAGTTGAGTTTTCTGGTGAATTTTTGGAAAATGAAATGAACCGTTAGATTTCGCTGCCTATAATGTCAATCTCTTTCTATTCTGTAATATTACCCAAGCTGAAACATTTTGGAAGATTGCCATTCAAAATAATCACATTGTTTTCACACAATCTCACGCATTCTAAACATATGTATTAAGCCGTCCCGAAAGAGCTATCGTTTCATCTTTGAAATATTGTGACTTCCTACTCTGTGGACGGATTTTTTGTCTGTAAATTTGTTGGAAAGAAGAGTTTTTCTTCTGTGGATGTATCTTGAGGAGCTTCTACTACACGCTCCCTCCACAAATAAAAACAAGAAAGAAGAGTATTCAGGCTCTGACCATTTTGAGTTGAGTCGCAAAAATCCCTAATGTTGCAGAAAAATTGTGCAGCGCTGACTTAAGCAGCTCATCCCACATGTCCCTATCTCACTTAAAAAGTCCTCAAAGTCAGCATCGCGCAAAATGATGGGTACTGGGATTTAACACCATTGCAACGGTAGACTCTCTTCCCCTCCCTCAATTAATCTATCAGTGAAGTAGGAGCGAAAAAGCAAGTCTGAGAAGCCTGGAATCCACATCAAAAGTCTTCCGGAACCTTCCCCTTTGTTCCGGTTGCCCACTTACATGTATTGTGTGTATTTCTCAGCGAATGTGGACATCGAAATCCTCGAAAAAAGCCAATTTTCGTCATTTTCAAGCCCCAAAGCCTTCATGCCAATATATGGGTTTAGCATGGCTAGAAGGCTCCAAATGATGAAAAACAGTAGATCGAAATTTTGCTGAGACACTGCCTTCAAAAGGACTATTCTTACATTGATGGATTGAGATTAGTTTCTGAAGCTGTTAGCCGAAGCAATGTGAGAGACGCGATAATTTCTTAAATCTGGTAAAGTTATCATTGAAAGGAAAACTATCACTTTGAAAGGAGAATTATCAATTTGAAAGGAAAATGATTTCGATTATGAGTTAGGAAGTACGACAGCGCTGTGACTGGTTTTTCGTTGCGAAATTGTTGCAACAGTTACTCAATATTTTTGCTATATTGCAAAAGAGATCTTCAACGAAATATTTAAATAAAATTTCTTGGTTACTTACTTCCCTCTTGCGCCGCTCTAACTTGTGTCAACATTATTCCATAAAAATTTCCATGATGGAGAAGGGTATTGAGGGCTTACCTTCTGGCTCCTCAGCGGTTTCAAAGCGGAACTTCTTTTTCTTATGATGTCTTCGTTTCTTGTGACGTCTAGGAAGCAAATCACCGTATCCGCCACCTAATCCGCCACCATAGCCACCATACCCACTATCGTACATAATAATGTAGCCACCAGGAGCACTATTGTAGGAGCTGAAAACTTATCAAATTTAATTAGCCGCGCAGAGCGAAAAAGCCAAATGAACGAATTTAAAACAAGGTTTTTGAAAATACTTGGTTCGAAATCTAATTCACTTGAACTGATTCGAAGAATCTATTGAGAGTTGATTGCGAATGGAAAATTTGCGTGTCTGCCTCGGCTGCCACATTTTTGTGGTAAAATCGTAATCCGGTTGAAAAAAATCCTAGAAAATACCTAGTTTGCTAACAGATAACACTATCTACACCAGACATTTATTTGTACTGTTGTTATAATTTTCCTGGATAGGAATTAGTAAAATCAAAATTTTTGTGTTTTTGCTAAAGTGCTGTGCTCCCACATCAGTAGTTGTATATCACAGACCAGTAAACGTACAACCAGTACCGTACAGACTTTTTAAATTTTGCTTCAAACTTGAGATGGATTTGAAATCAAGAAAACCATCTTATAGATCTTGCTTTGCTCTATCAAATGGTAACTTGAATGTTGCAGTTGAAAATCAAGCACGGAACTCATGGGACAATCTGATAATTACAAAAATCACTTACCCGCAGAACGAAGGGCACTGACACTGCCTATACAAGGCTGGCTGAGAACATGCGTACCCTCCTAGAGACCCGTAAAATTCTGAAAAATTGTGTCCTATGTACCGTAACACAAAATAATTGTAAACTTACGGGCTGTTGCAGCTCCAGCATAGAAAAGAAGTAAAACAGCCACCCACGACAAACTCATGGTGATCTGTTCGATTCGTGGGATTGACCTTATAGTGAAAAACGGGGCGGAGTGCGGTCTCGGATTATGGCAATCACAGTCGGCGGCAAAACAACACTGCGTTCCTTTCTCTGTTTCCTGCTTGACACTTGTTTATTGCGATGTAACCGCGAAGCACGAGATTATTTTCGCGATAAAGCCGCTTGAAACCGATTATTAATCAAAATTACAAGATGGCGGGGAGGGGAAGGAGAGCGCGAAAGCTGACCTGATTTATTGCTTGCCTTGTCGACTTTTCTTACAATAAGATAAAATAAGGTAAGCATCCTTTAATCTTGACGTTACAAAAATTTTAGTCCCCTTGTTTGCCATGATTGCAGCAATTTCCCTGAGTTTTTGAACTGAAAATGCATTCGCACAAATTTTTTACCTTGATATAGAAAATGTCATTCTCAGGCTAGTTCCATCGCTGCATTTTGATCATTTGAGAGACTTTGCTAGGCTTCCTATTTTTTGAGGTCGTACAACTGCGCTAACTGCATCGTTTTTCCCCATTTTTTTCATTCTTTTCATTTGTCCCGAATTTCTCAATTTCCGGCAGAGGGGTTGGTTATATAAGCACAAACAATGCTTAACTGAAGGTATGTCGAAAATCAAAATGTTCTTTTTTCCGTTAACGATCCTGACGTCCAATTTTGAAGCATCCTGCTGAAATGCGTTGCAAAATGGAGAGTTTTACTTCTTCTGAAATCTGGATCAGTCGAGGTCAGATACTGCAATTTTTTGTGTGAATTATATGCACAATAATACGAAGATCTGATTTTTGAAATCTAAACTTTGTTTGGTTTTTTTGGCGTTTCTATAGAGGACGATCGAACAAGTGAAAGGCTCAAAAAGGCCATTGAGTAAAATTACAAGGCTTCGCTTTTTAAAAATTACTTTTGAGGCTTAATGCAGTAAGAAAAGACCATTTGTAATCAATTTAGATGAAAATTTGTTTTAAAGAGATATTTGTAATGCTCAATCAAATTTTGTGACACTAAATGCAGAATTTTTTCTTTTGTTCAGATGAAGTGACTGGGGAACTGAAATTTCAAGCTCATTCATGAAAAAATTATCCATCATTCAAAGATATCTTTCTTACCTCAACTATCCCAATAAACAGACTTTACATCTTCACAGCGTTTGGTGGCCACGAGCTTCCCAAAGACGTTTAGGAAAACAGGCTACTTACAGACTTGGTTGTTTTTCTTTGAAAATAGGTAGCCCACTACAAATAACTGTGCTATTTTATTTCACGATTAATTCCAGAGTTGTTTATTATATTAACTAGCGACTCGGGGTCTCTAACGAGTGGTTTAGGGACGATATCGAGTGGATGAGGAGGGGTGTATTATCCTCGGGACTATCTTAAAACACGGTGGAAGGTACTAGGTTCAACCTAGAAGGTTCTTCTGAAGGCTCATCTCAAATTAACTAAGGTGAATGGGGCTTTTCTGCAGGCCTTTTTGCAGGTTTCCTCTCTTATAGCTCTCGAAACTGTACTCGCTTGAGCGCTCAAATTTTTAGTAAAAAAGTCAGGTTTTTTGCACCCCACTTGCTCTCATAACGAGTCTCCCATGAAATTTCTTGAGATTTGTCCTCTTAGAGTTTGTCGTAATAGAAAGGACGAGAACAAACTATCTGGAATATTGCACCCACCAAGCACAAGAACATACTTGCTTGAGCGCTTAGATCTTCTATAGAAAAGTTAGATCCAGCAAATTATGTAGTTTCTTGAAATTTGTTTTGAAGATGGCTATCTCGTTCAAATAAAGTTCCAATCCGCAGAGCTCAAGGATTCGAAGCCATACCTGCTTATGAAACAAAGCAATGCCAGTCTCATAACTTTCGGGATCTACAGAGCTTAGAAGAGCTCCATGCGCTCACACAAAAGTTGAGTGAATCCCTGGTTTTGATGAAAGAAAGAAAAAGTGTTTCAGTACTGTAATTGTGGTTCTGAGCCTTGACCCGAAATTGTTAACACTTTATTGGCTGACGATTCGGCAAGTCGCCTTCTTCAGAGCCTGGAATGGACAGTACGACTTGCAAACTACTCGATCAAACATCTCTGCAGCCATGCAAACAAAACTCTAAGGCTTCGGTAGATAGTAACCAGCTGCCTAACCAAGCACTCACCTTTTGAAAACGCCGATAGAGTTCTAATGCCAGAGCGAGCGTAGAATGACTGAATGCATATGCCACGGCTATTTATAACGTCTCCGCCGGGTCAGAAGATCTTTAGTATTTCAGTACTATATCTCCTGCCTTAGCTCAGATAATCGCCAGGGGCAGGCGGTCATGCGAATTTTGAGCAAGCGGGCACCGGAAAAAATAGTTCACAGATTTCTTGCGGTCCACTGGCAGAAATTTGGAATAATTCTGGCCAATTTCTAGGCGAAGCCGCATTCTCACGAACTCTTTCCGAGCCGCATTCTCACGAACTTTCCGCGAGAATATGCAAAATTTTTGGGGGCCGCACGGTTCTTTGTGAAGGACTGCGCAGCCCGTGTGTACTTTCGCAAAGGGCTAGCACCCAGGGCCCGGCACGAGGTCGGCAAACGACAAGCTGGAAATCGTTTTGGGGCCAAAAAGCAAAAGGGAAATCGTTTTTGCGGGGTCCGGGGCGGAGCCCCGGAAAAAAATTGGTAGTTCATGCTCGCTACTTATCTTGACATGTTATGTGCCTTAACAGGCGAACACTGGAGTTCGCGCGCGTCAAACCGCGCCGTCGCTAATTGCCGCACGCGCGACGTCGCCCAAGCGCTATTTGTAACTGCATACATGACTAGTTCTCAATGTATGTGTAACGATATGGCACCAAATTTTGTATGCGAACGGAGAGAGGCTAGTGGAGACATAGTATGAAAAGTTATGAAAAACTTATGTGAACGGAACGAGTAATTAGCATTTTTTCCGAGAATTTCGCAAAACTGGTAAATGAAGATGTGAATTCAAACGGCTCGTTTGGAACGCGCAGATGAACGATTTGGTATGAAACTTGGTAAGTACATGCACACGGGCTTGCAGGGCTTGAATGAGGAGTTTCATCGAAAAATTATGTGACTGAAGGTTGTGGCAAACTTTTTTCTGAAAATTTTGCGCTACCAAAGAAATGCAAAAATGGCTCGTTTGCAACGCAGAGGTAACGAAATCGCACGGGTTTCGGTGTGTATATGCGCAATAGGACTAAGTAATAAAGTATGAAATATTATGAAAAACTTATGTGAATGAAGAGCGTGCTTAACTAATTTTCAAATTAGGTCGGCATTTGCCGACCTAATTCCCACCTGAGGTCGGCAAAACTCTCAATTCACATAATTTTTTCAAAATTTTTACATAAATCTGTTGTACACCTAAAGTTTACTACACGGTGAAATTTTGGTTCCGAAACTCCTCCTCTTGTCCTTGTTAGAGCCTAAAATCGCACCAGCAGCCTAGCTTTCTAAGATAGAAAGCGCGCCCCAGTCAATCGATACGCGCGGGAACGGCGTCTCTCATTCCTATGACTGCGTTTCATTAATATTTTCTCATTCCTTAATCATTCTTCTTGCTTCTTTTTCTTCCTGTTTTCTATTTTGATACAGCTGAGGAATAATTTGAGGAATTTGAGCAATTTGGGCGCTTTTGAACGCTTTTAGGCGAAGTGTGGCCGGTAATCTCGTCGCACAAGCACGAAACGTCATTTTTGGGCTCAAGGGAGTATTCGTAAAATATATTGGGATCAAAGGGGAATTCGTTTTGGAAAACCCCGTTTACTCACCTCGTGCCGGGCCCTGCTAGTACCCCAAACTCGGGTAATTAAACCGGCGATGACACTCTGCCACATAGAGTCTCACCTTTGCTCGGCGCGTGCCCGAAACTGAGTAAAAAAGTCCGAGCGCTTGCTGAAAATTTGGTCAGCGCTCGCTCATAGAAATTACTTGACGAGCGCTTGCAGAAAATTCTGTGTTGCTGCCCGCTGGCAGAACATGGAAGTAACGTTCGCTGAAGGTTTGGCCACACCCCAAAATTCTGATGGGCGCTGCAGAAAAGCGAAAGTTTGCGGACCGCCTGCCCCGACAATTATCTGAGTTCATAAAAATTACGATAAGTGTCTATAATCTCAAAGAGAATCCGGTCAGAAGATTTTAATCTGTTGTAAAACTTTTGTCATTTGTTATCCCAACAAACATTGTCAATTATTTGTAATACCAAGTTTATTCTCAAGTGCCCCCCCCCCATACATGCATCGCTCTTAAATGTGTGTACATTTTATTCTCATTCTTCAGTACAAAATTGGTAAAGTCTATGTCTTTACACACAACACTGACAAAAGAAAAAAGAAAACGGTAAAAAACAGAATGCTAGTAGTTGCATTACACAAAAAATTTGTCAGTATGATGCAAGCAAATAGATGATTACAATAACCCGTAATAAGTGAGCTCCAAGGGGAAAAGTGCAGTTGTTTATCATCCAATTCCTAATCCACTTCCAACACCGATAGGTCCTATTCCTGGCACGCCGACTCCTATACCTGATGAGATGCCAAAGAGACCGCCGTTACCTAAAAAATCTGTCTAAATTTCGAAAACATGTCTTTCCTAGCAGAGAATGAGGAGTGAGAAAGAGATAGCCAGCACCTAAACCTAAGCCAGCTAATCCGGACGATCCGCCGCCTCCACCTAACCCGGGAGGTCTACTTTCTCCATTTGACCTCGAAGATCCAGCGGGTATAGGTTGCACTTGACCGCCGTCTCCACTGTTGTCAACGCTAACTGGGGCCCCACGACCGCCAGCTTCACCACTCGGTCTTGCTAAACCAAAAAATTATTTGAACACTTCTGCCATCTCAAATTTGCCGGTTGACCTTGAAAAGATATCATACGGATATGGCTTATGATTTCTAGTACACTTTTGTATCTACCTCTACTACGAGCATTGACAGCTGGAGCTGTAGCCGGCGTCTGTTTCTCTGAATTCACTAATTCCGATCGGGATTTTGCAGGGATCATCTGAAATTAAATTCAAAACCCTTGAAAATGGTGCCACCTTTCCTTACAAAAATCTTTGATAACAGATCAACTCTTTCATAGCTTACCTCCTCGTCATCAATCTCTGGCAGCTCTTCAGATCCACCCTCTTGGCCTTCCTTATCCTTTGATTTGTTTTTCTTTACAAACTTCTTCTCCCACTCATCCTGAGAATAAGGTGATTAACATACATTGGAAAGAGCATTCAGCAGAAATGGCTTAACATTAGTACCTCATCTTCCCAAGAATGTTTAGACTTGCTGGGCTTTTCCTCTGGCTCCGATGATGGTTCAGGAAGCTCTTCTAAAAAGCTCATTATAAATTTCTTGTCATTTTACAGATTTATCATAAGCAATATTCACTAATGAATCAACCTATCACACTTTTTTACTCCAGTATCTCTCAAAATGGCCTTACAAATAATCACACTTTTGACTGTGCGCATCTAAATAAACGGGGCTCAACACGTGGCTTATGAGCAAGCTGGATATAGTTTTTGGGAGAAAAAACAAAGAGGATATAAGTTTGTAACCGAGAAAAATACAACTTAGGTTACGCCTTTTAGTCGACTTTCGTCTTTTTTTAGAGGTTTCTTACGTTTAGGGTTTGGGATCAAAGGGCATTTCCTGCAGTTTTGGGGATGCCAAGGTGGTCTCCATTTTTTCCGGCAAGCCACCTCGTCCCGAGCCCCGCATATAGTACATCCAAAAGTCTGGAAGAGTGTAATAGGTTTGTGAAATTTGGGCTAAAAGGATATTCACTATTGCGTACGTTGTACACATCATTTGGGCCCGTCCAAAAGTTCCTTGTCTTTTGGATCTAATCGCATACCCGTGAAATGCAGGAAGTTCTACATTTCAGAATGTATTCAATGCATTCTCCCTCTTCCAAGCTAAATGATTGAAAAAAAATTATGAACTCTCAATTGTGCTCAAAATTTCCAGTTTTCTACCTCTCCAAATTCAGCGGATATCACAGTTTCCAACTTACTTTCAAAAAGTTAACTAACCAGTAGAAAGAGCAAAGCTTATTCTGAAACCCTTTAGCTGCCCTTTCATTTTTCTGAGGGAGTTTTCTACAAGTATTGAACAGCGAAGAAATACCGTTATTCACAATCTCACGAAATCTTGGAAAACTTCAAAAGTTGAAATTTTTTGAACTTGATTACTGCTAATACTGACTTTTAAAAAGACGGGCATCCAGGACTTAGAGGTATAAAAATCTCAATTATTCCGTGCACCCTTATGAATGCAAATTACGTCGACTGAAAATTTCGCTATCTCAGAGAAAAGCGGCAGCCAGAAAGACAGGTAGGAACTGCTTTGAATGGTACCTGAGTCGCTGATCGTTAGTTTTAGGAAATTAATATGATCGAACATAAAATAAGATCACTCTAAGAAATAATTTGTAGAAATACTGAAACGCTGGACACTTTATTCGCTAGTCATCATAGCTTTTTTAAAGCCTGCAACAAAAATTCTCAAATTAGCTACTTTAGACAGCAAAAAACGGTAGGTTGGAAACTCCGTCGGATATCTAAACGCTTACCAAAAGAAATTTCTAAGCGTAGGGCTTTGAAAGAAGAAGATTTTTCGCACTGAATTTATTTTTGTTTGTAGAGCCTGTGCAAAGTTATCGTACTAGAGCGTATATAATTCCAAAAAAAAAACAGCAGGAACATTCAGAGAGACCTAATACGCTTGATTCACCGACTATCAAAAGATAATATGATTTGTTTGTTGTTGAAGATTTGCATGAGCGTCCTTAACAATACCAGAGGAAATTGAGGTATTTCCCGAAATATAACTTGGACTTTGAAAGGTCTATTCAAGAGCAGTTTTCGAATTTATTGATGGGTTGTGACAAGTTTTCCTAAAATCAAGGGTAAAAGCGATCTAATCAGCAGAAGTTTGAAATTTGCATAGCCATCAGGAAAGCGCTTTCATTTTAAATGAAGATGACGGCGTCTGACTTCGTACATACTCATCAAGCTCAAGAGGTTTTGAGATTTTACACCGCTGAAATGAGCCTAATGCACAGATGCTTACGAAAAATAATCAAACTTTGTTTATAAAGAGATTTATAGCTGGGAAAATTAAAGCCCAACCTCCAGACTCTATATTGCGCACAATAACCTCAGTATTGATGAGAAATAGATGCCACTTTAGAAGCTCACCTTCTGGCTCCTCAGCAGTTTCAAAACGGAACTTCCTCTTCTTATGATGTCTTCGTTTCTTGTGGCGTCTACGAAACGAAACGTCATATCCACTATATCCACCACCATATCCACTATCAAGTAAAAGAATGTATCCACCAGTGTAGCCACTAACAGCGCTGCCGTAGGAGCTAAAAATCTTAGAAATCAAATTCACATATCGAAACTATGTTTCTTATTCTCTGTAATTTGAGAAGCCAAAAATTCAAACAATAAATAATGGTCAAAGTTTGCTAAAATCAGCTCGAAAAGGGCAGAGGATGTTATGTCGCCGGAGAAGAAGTAGCGCACGGACATCTGCAATAAACCAGCAATTCGACACATTTACTGCTTCGTACCAGATGTCCTAGCGGCTGCAGCTTATCGGCGACACATCATGTCCTCTAATTGTTTGAAAATGATGATATAGGGAGCTTTCTGACAAACAATCATATCCCATACAAAAATAATTTCATAGCGAATTGGGAAACTTTCATTCTTTATTGGGAATAGTTCCGATAGTTAAAGTCACAACAAAATTCGCTAACCCGCAGAACGAAGGGCACTGACACTGCCTGTACAAGACCGGCTGAGAACATGCGTACCCTCCCAGATATCCGTAAAATTCTGAAAAGTTGTGTCTATGTACTTTGATACAAAAATAATAGCAGACTTACGGGCTGTTGCAGCTCCAGCATAGGAAAGAATCAAAACAGTCACCCACGACGAACTCATGGTGAATTGTTCGATTTGTCGGGATTGACCTTATAATGAAAAAGGGGGCGGAGTGAGGTCTCGGATCATAGCAATCACAGTCGGGGGCAAAACAACATCGCCTTTCTTTCGTTTCGTACTTGACACTTGTTTATGGCGCTGTAACTACGAGGCACGAGATCATTTTCACAATGAAGCCGCTCAAAACCGATTATTAATCGCTATACGGAAAGGAGGGAGGGAGAGCAAGAACGAGAAAGTGACCGGATTTATTAGATGTCTTGTCGACTTTCCCTCTAGCATAAGAAGTGCGGTAAACGTTTTTCTAGCCCTACTTCAACTTCTTTGAATAATCTTCTTGTCACTCGCTGAGATAAATCTTCTTTACATGAATCTATCTAACTGGCAAACCCGGCTCCGCCCGACCTTATATTACCCTAATATTCTCACGCGTACAAGGCGCACCTTTTTCGATTTTTCAAACAAGCCGCTCAACCGCTTCAACCTGTTTCGGAAAGCGAATCTTGAACCGTTCAATTGTCTCAGGCAATTCGGAGCCCGGGGTAGGGGAACGAAAGCCGCCAGTTTGGGCCGCCTCCGCGGACTGCTGATCCTGGAACGACATGCAACAAACAACACTGCGAAAGGACCAGTTGGCCGCGAAAGGCGGCTCAAACTGGCGGCTTTCGTTCCCCTACCCCGGAGCCCGGTATACGGTTCTTTGGTCGGAAGTGTTGTGGTGTGTTTGGGCTGGCGGATTTTAGAAGAAAATCCCCCGCGCCTTGTACGCGTGAGACTAGGGTATTAGGTTGTAACAGAATTTAATGCAGGTTTTTCACACCTCTTTTTAAAGGGATGGTTCAAAATAAAATTCCATTGTCTTGAGAAACTATGCACCCCAACTGGAAGCACCCTTCTTCTAGTTTCTTAGGCATGCTTTCGTTTCAGGAGGATTGGGTTCATTTCGAAATTACGTGCTTTTGAATTCAAGAGACTAAACCTTGTAAATTTTCCTCTTACACTCTTTGCTTTAAATCCACCGCGAAAAATCCGAATTTTTTGCAAACTGACTAGCGTTTGTATGTGATCTGTGCTACAAATTGCACTTTGAAGCAAATTTCTCAAAAGTTTCCAGACCGAGAAACTTTATTTCAAACCCAGACAACCGCTGCTATTCAATGCTGCTCTGTAACTACGATCCCAGCTTCACAACATATCCTGCTCGTCTAGGCGCTATTAAATGCATCGTCCAGATATTTCGTTAGCCCTTCCTTCTGGAGCGATTTTCATTTAGGAATTCATTTTTACAGGATGAGTTCGGTATTACGGGTTGGTGTACAGATGTATTATACAGCCAAAATCTGGTCACTATACTTGGGTAATTCGATAAGTTTTCATCGAATGAATGAATATCGAATAAATTCGAAAAGGAAAAATTTCCAATAAACGAATATCGAATAAATTCGAAAATAAAAAATCTTGAACAAACGAATATCGAATAAATTCGGAAAATCAAAAATATCGAATGAATGAATTTTGAATAAATTCGGAAAGTCAAAAATATCGAATGAATGAATATCGAATATATTCAAACATTGGAAGTCGAATTTCGAATAAATATTCGAATGATTTATCGAATAACTAAAGCAATCACATCTCAAACTTGCCGACATATCTGGCTAAAGCCGATCCAATCATAATCAGCCCCCTAGTATCCCCTATACCAACCCCTAGCTCAAAATTTTCCAAAAATTGCTGAAATCGATAAAATAGATTTCGGTTCTAATCAGCACCCTCACTTACCCCTTTGTACCAACTCCCAACCTCGTAGCTCAAGATTTTCCAAAAATCGATAGAATCGATAAAGTAAATTTTTATCCATAATCAGCACTTACCCCCTTGTACGAATTCCCAACCTCGTAGCTCAAGATTTTCCAAAAATCGAAGAAATCGATAAAGTAAATTTTTATTCATAATCAGCACCCTCACTTACCCCCTTGGTGTAAACACCTAACGAGCTGTTCGTCATAGCGCTAGGTGTGCGATCTTTTGAAGCAATAAGGTGGCCACATATGTACTTAAATTTCACAAATGCTACGATACATAACCTGTTCATTGCCTGTTCTTACATTGCCTGTTCATCGGAGACTTTCGTCTTGTGTGGTATAAGCTAGTCATGGACGAAGGCATGTGGTTTCCTCCGCGAAGCGAGCACGAATGCCCCTATAACCCCGGGCATACTGCAGGCATTTCAGTGGCGACGTGGTATGGCAATACTCAAATTGTTCAAAACCTATTCTGAAAGTACAGAATGCAGGGCATTTATCTTTTCAGTATGTTGCACACGCTAAACATTTGTGGTAAGCTGCCATTACATCTGAAGACATCTCGTAACTGGCAAATCGCGTACGGCGATCTAAACCGTCTAATCTTGCACTACAACTGCGATGTCCTTTACTCAATATACACCAATTCACAAAAAACTCCAAGGTAACGAATAGGCAGTTTTGCAATAATTTATGCGAGCAAGAGTGCTCACTAGTGTGGGCTTTGCGTACCGCAAGCATGAGCAATGCAAAAAAAGAAGAACAGCCATTTCAATTCAGTATGAACTCAGAACATGAGCTTGAATTTGATATCTTCTTTGCTGATTTGATGCCAATAGCAGCGCGAACAATCTCATTAATCGAAAAAACATCAATTAAAATCCACATATGATTTTTTTACTGTCGCAAGCAGTCGGAAGAATGCGACTCTCCATCAAGCTCAAAAGACCGGTTGCAAAAGATGCATTACCGAGTTTGCGAAAAAAAAAACGCCGACGAAGTGAGCTTGATACTCAGCAGTTGGCTCTGCAACAAAGTCGAATAATCTGAATACGGAGTACATTCGAATACGAATTCGAATAAACATTCGAATAAAACATTCGAGTAAAATCTATTCGAAACCCCGTTTTTTGATTATTCGAGTTTTCGAATAATATTCGAAACCTCGTTTTTTGATTATTCGAGTTTTCGAATTTTATTCGAAACCCTGTTTTTTGATTATTCGAGTTTCGAATTTTATTCGAAACCCCGTTTTCTCAATTATTCGAGTTTCGAATGTTATTCGAAAATGGAAGAACTCCGAATATCGAATTTCGAATACGAATATATTCGAATGTTTTATTCGAATGATCGAATTTCTATTCGATTCGGACCCAAGTATACTGGTCACCGTTGGGTGGACGGTGCCTTGAAACTTTGTTACATTCTTATTTCCAATACAAAATTGGTGAAGTATTACTTTATACACAACATTGACAGAGAAAAAGGACAGCGAGAGAAGCGCAATGCAAAACACAGTGGATTTGTCACATTATACGAGAAAATCTCCGCACATGGCTTCAATATGATACAGGCAATGAGTAATTGCAACTACTCGTAGTACTTGAGCTCCAAATGAAAAGTGCGCGTGACTTCGCATCACCGTCCTATTCCTAATCCACTACTAACACCTATAGGTCCAACTCCTGGTACGCCGACACCTATCCCTGATGAGATGCCAAAGAGACCGCCGTTACCTAAAAAATAATTATGTCATGACGTCAGGTTAAGCACGTATTTTCTGCCAGAAGATTTGTGAGTAGTAAGAAAGAGATAGTACAGCACCTAAACCCAAGCCACCTAATCCGGACGATCCACTGCCACTACCGAATCCCGAGGACCCGCTGCCTCCACCAAACCCGGAAGATCCGAGTCCTCCTCCACCTAACCTTGACGATCCACTCGCTACAGGTCCGCCGCCACCAGTGTTATCCACACTGGATGGAACTCCAACACCACCAGATTCTCCTGCCGGACTTACTAAAAGAAAATGCATACGATTTATTGAGAATTGTTTGGATTTTACTTGTCGAGCATTGAGAAATGTTGAATGGTTATTTTGCATTGTATTTACCTCTATCACGGGCATTGGCAGCTGGAGATAGAGCGGAAGTATCCGCGCGACCTTTTGCAGATGTTATCTAAAGTTGAAAGACTCGAAGCCTTTGAAGATGGTGCTACTACCCGTAAAAACCTCTTTAACATGGGATAGCTTACCTCCTCACTATCTATCTCTGGCAACTCGTCGGAACCGAATACAGGTTCCTTATTCTTTGATTTTTGGCTGACAAATTTCTTCTCCCATTCGTCCTGGAAGTTCGTTTGATCACAAAAATAGTGCATGCGAAGCGTGTTTAACAGTCAAGCTATGAAAATAAGCACCTTATTTTCCCAAGAATGTTTAGAGTTGCCAGACTTTTCCTCTGGTTCCGATGGTGGCGGGTGCCTTTCCGATAACTTCGATGGGGACGGGCGTCTCTCCTCTAGCTCTGATGGAGGCTCGGGTAGTTCCTCTGATTTTAAAAACCGATGCAAAGTTCGTATTTGGTAATTTTTTTTCAAATTGACATGTACTAGATTTCGCTAACACATTGTTCTTCTTCATCTGTGATAATAATATAGCTCAATAGCTTGCCATCCAAAACAAAGACTCTATTTTTACAAAATCTCACGTAATCGATACATACTTAACATGTCTTGCATCTATGGAATTCTGTAGATGACTCAGAGGAAATCAGATAAGTGCATCACTTTTTTCCACTACATTTTGAAAAAAAAACACTTTCACAAGGCAAAAAATTCTTGCAGCGCAAGCAAAATCAACAACATTGCGGTCCTGATTACGCAGCTCCGACTAATCAACATAAAGACCTTGAGAAGTCCATAAAAGGACAGTTTTCATTGATGGGTTGAGAAAAGTTTCTGAAATTGTTAGTGAAAGCGATGTGATGTGCGAGGAAAATTCCCCAGAACTGGTGAAGTCATCAACTTGAAAGAAAGGTCCTTTCAATGTTAGTTAGAAAGTACAACGCTGTGACTGCTTGCTTTTTCATCGTTGCGAAATTGCTACAACAGTTGCTCAAAATGTTGTTAATTTTGCAAAAGATTATCTATCGTCGAGATATTTAGATCAAATTTTTTGATTACTTACTACCCTCTTGCGCCACTCTAATCTCTGTTAACGTTATTCCACAAAAGTTTCCACGATGGAAAAGAGTATTGAGGGCTCACCTTCTGGCTCCTCAGCAGTTTCAAAACGGAACTTCTTCTTCTTATGATGTCTTCGTTTCTTGTGACGTCTAGGAAGCGAATCACCGTATCCGCCACCATATCTATCACCATATCCACTACCATACATAGTACTGTAGCCACCAGGGGCACTACCATAAGAGCTAAAATTTTGAAAAAAAAACTGATTTACTTGATGATGCGGCGTTCACAACAGGAAAGACATCTAACTTAGGTCGGCCATTCGAGTAGAATCGATATGATTGAAACCATCTTCAGACGCTGATTCCAAAGGTGATTTTTTTTTGCGCAAAATTTGTATGCTCTTTGACCCACTGACATTACCGTACGATCATCAAAGTACTAACTTATTGTAGTAAGTTTTTTGTCAATGACAAAAGACTTAATCTGATATTGAATCCATTAACGACGAAGCCTAATTTTGCATGGCAGCGCTGTGAGACGACGCGATTTTGCACCACACTTTGGGCGTGGGAAAGTTATGTGGTCAGTTACTAAATGTAAAATTTTTTGCAAACAATTACGATCATTTTCTTGGACGACGAATTCTACAGGTTCCAAAAATCCAAAAAATTGGGAAAAAATAGAACTGTGGAAATTACTTGGAAAGGATATGGTTTTACAAGGGATGTGGCCCACCGGTGGTCCACGTTGGTCCATGGGTTAAATTTTCAACAATCTTTTTAGGCAGATTTCTATCTACAGGCATCCTTCCCATACTGAGTAGTATGCCAATTTCGCACGAAAAAAAAGCTCAACTGCTATAGAGTAATGTGCGGTAGCTAAAAACAACATTTTTGGAGTCAACGTTTGAAGCTGATACTAACCATATATTTTTCTATCTGAGAGGCCAATCCAACCTAGATGCCTTCCCTTGTCTGTTCAAACTAGGGATTTCAAAATGGAACTTGACAGCAAAATTTTCTGAGACTATTTTAGTATAAATATATTTCATTCATTGCTGTGAACATTCTATTGGAAAAGTAGGTGAATTATACTGAGAATAAGGAGAGGCTGTATGCAATTTACTATTTGCTTCTATGTTACTCGTCTGCCACTCCATATTTGTCGTAAAACTAATTACAAAATTCACTCACTTGCAGAACGAAGGGCATTGGCACTGCATATACAAGGTTGGCTGAGAACATGCATATCCTCCTAGAGACCCGTAAAATTCTGAAAAATTACATTTATATACTATAGCCCGGGAGCTAATATAAACTTACGAGCTAATGCAGCACCAGCATAGGAAAATAGTAGAACAGCCACCCACGACGAAATCATGGTGAATTGTTTGATTAGTGGAGATTGACCTTTTAATGAAAAACGGGGCGGAGTGCTCAGATTACAGCAATCACAGTCGACGACAAAACAACACGACCTTTCTTTCTGTGTTTCGTGCTTGACACTTGTTTATTGCGTTGTAACTACGGCATAAGAGAATCATTTCCACAATGAAGCCGCTTAAAACCGATTATCAACCGAAATTACAAGGTGGTGTGAAGGGAGGGAGGGGGGGGGGGGGGGGGAGAGCGCGAATGTCGACCTGATTTATTGCTTGCTTTGTCGACTTTCTCTGACAGCGAGAGAAATCGAGAGACAATCTTTCTGCGCTTTTTCTCAATTTTTTAAAGAACTTATGCTTGCCATTGTCGCAAGTCCCTGCACTCATTGATTCAGACGTTTTTTTTACAAATTCATCTTATCTTGATAAATGACATGTCATGATTTCATCCGAGTACTACCGCCTTCTCAAAATTTTCAAAAAAATATATCCTGTAATTTTAGTTTCTTCGAAATTGTACCATAACCTTGTAACGACTGCCCCTTTGTCGAATTTTCTTCCTACTCTTCCTTATTTTATCAGGTCTTTACATAAAGTTTTGTTACACTCAACAAAGTAGTCTTCTATAACTCCTTCAGAAAAATTTTCCTCATCTCCAATTCATGTGGACGGTTGTGGTTTTGATAGATACATGTAACACATAAAATATCAAACTTTGAATTTTTGGTAATTTTTTCTATTTATGTGTGGAATTTTCCAACATACGTTGTTGAAGAGTTCAAAAATTGGGCTGTCTTCGTTGTACTACTGGCTTTACAGTCTATAAAAATGCGAAAGGGGAGAAAGAACATTGAGAGAATTTCTAAAATACAAGAAAAAAATGGAGGTTGAAGCGCTGTTAGAGAGAATCGCTACATTTGCTGTAATTCAAGGTCGTGAAAGCAAAAGTGATGCCAATAGATAGCCCTTCATCTTTCTTTCATTTATTTCAAGAGATTTCGCCGAATTTCCTAGAGTTTTTCAGGAAAAGGTAAGAAAGTGTTACAATTTCGAAAAACTCAAACTATAGACCTAGTATTATTTTTTTCGCAATTTTCAACATCAGATAAGGAAATTAGTTAAAAATGGTCATGAAATTTATGCAAAGAAATCTGATTCGGAAAATAGCAATTCGATTTCTTTTTCTTCGTATCGCAATCTCTTACGCTCTTCCTAGCCGGGTAAATGCGTTGCAAAAGAGATTTACTCACTGAAATGATACTCGATCAGTTGAAATGCCAGAGAGGCGATTTCTAAACAGAATCTTCATGCGAACTAAATATGTTACACAATACGAGGATTACTCATCAAAGCTTGATTGCTGCGAAAACTTCTAGAAAAAGAACTCATCAGGGTTTGTTTGCCAATAGAAGTGAAATCTTAAACCCCACAGATTCCATTATCTTTGCATGCTAAATAATCGTTATAGCATACACTTCGTGTATCATCCTGTGAAGAAAAAAGAAAAAGGGATCCCTATTTTCAGAAATTCCGACAACAGCATTTTCGAAGAGGTGAGCGATATGAGGGGTACAGCTGGCTTTGTCGTAATTCTGCTTTATGCTCACCCCCAAATACCTTTCTATCACAAAAAAAAACCCTACGGAGCATTTTGACACGAGATTTGCAGGTGTACCCTCTTATCTTATAAAGTATTGGAAATGCCAGCATTCAAAACATCTGAATGGCTCAAGCAAAGATCTCAGGGAAAGTCAGATCAACCACAACTTCCGAAGAACAGTGATACTGAAAGATAGATAAGGACAAATAGAGGGTTTGTTTATGTAAACTAATGTATTTTACAGATTTTGTTTTTAGCATAAAAATGGGACGAGTGGCGTAGTGGTATGAGGCTTCGCTCCAGATCGGACACAGGTTCGATCGCCGCCCATGGGCCAACCAAGCCCTCTCTCTCCGGAGAAGGTAAATTAGTACCAGAGTAATCTGGGAGGATAAAATTACTGACTTGGTAATCGGCTGGACCCCAAGTCATGTAAGAGGCCCGCACGCATACAATTGCCTCTTCGACTATGAAGTAGTGTCCATTCGGCGCATGCCCGCAGAGGGTATTGAAGACGCCAAATCTTTTATCCTTTTATATATAAAAAACATTGATTTTGTTTATTTTTTCAACAAATTCGATGTCCAGCGCGCATTTCTTAGCGAAGTATGGAACTGAGTACGGCTTCGTACGTGCTTATCCATACTCAAATGAAAACTCCACTGGTAGTGACCATTTCATCCGTGGTGATGTCTGGTCAGTCGGATTATGTTCATAGCCTTAAAATCTTTGCATCTATTCCATGAAGTCAGATCACCCTAATTTCGTTGTACTTTTTTCGGGAACTGCTTAAACGGGCGTAGAATACTAAATTAACAAAATGAAAAAATAAATCATAGGCAGTCAATATGGTATTCAAAAGGTGGTTTCTCTGAACCAAATCAAAACTTATTACAAGCATACCATTGAGTATGCTATTTGAACCAGTTATTATTATTTCTAATCTAATTCTTATCATTAATTTGTGTGAAAAATCTTATTCTTACCTTATGAACTTTAAAATCTTATCAAACAAACGCTCAAATTTTTCCTATCAAGTTATCAAAGTCGAACGATTTGTCTCGTTTGAAGGCCATAAAAATGAGAGCGGCACACGCAAAAAAAGATAGTAAAGTTATGGGAGAAATTGCAAAACTCGTGTGCCAATTTAACATATGGAAACCTTCTATGTGCGACTTGAGTCTATTATGTGAGTCTGCACAAAAACGCGACAACCCACTACCGAGATGTTCTATTAGCAACCCCAAACTAGGCAAGATGATCACATAATTCAAATAATAAGGAGTGTTTATTGAAGAATTCTACATGTACAATAGCTCTACAGTTCAAAACTCTGCCTTGGCGCGAACGCTGACACGCTTGCGAAAGCCGCTTACCGGTGGCAAGAATGTACTCTATGTAGTCTTTTTTCAAACGTTTCGGACCACGAAATCGCGCGCGGCGGGAAAAGTGCATTTTCAGCTGTTAGCCAGCAAAGGGACCTTATTTCGTAGACTGCTTGCTAAATCTGTAATCAGCATGTCGGATAAGCTCCATACCCAACTGAGTGAATTCGAAGTGTTTGAAATTTGCCGAGTCAGAAGGACTTCTGTGCTTTCTTGAAAGTCAGGAACAAGAGCTCAATTCCTAATAGTATCCAAAGTGTCTATGTTGCACACGGTACACATCAGTATTGGAATTACGGTTTTTCTCTTTGATATCAAAGGAAAGGAAAGTTGCGACGTCGCACGCGTCGTTCACGTTGCCGCACTTCGTTGCAACTGTTGTTCGATTTGTGCTCATGTCTCCTAAACAAATATCGGCGGCACAACTCTACAGCGTTATTTGGAAATTAGAAGCTTAGGCCTTTAACTTGATACCTTGGAACTGAAGGAAAACCTCCTGTAAAAGTCAAAAAGATACTCCAAAGCAGCGTGCTGCACCATGTGCAGTACCGGTCCGAAACGTGTTAAGCACCTTGAAGAGCACTTTCCAGGGACTCTCCTTCGTAAAAAATGGTTTAGGATTTCGCCTTAGGAACCAACTAGACCCTGTTGTCGAGAAATTCAGATCTGCGAATAAGGGAAACATTTTGCAAAATGAAATTTTCAGCGTTGCTTTATAGCCATGGTTGAAAAAACCCCGGGCCCTACATTGCCAGAGGCAACTTTTTTAGGCGTAGTCGGTATCGGAATCAGCCAGAAACTCCTATCTCAACGTGCTATCCAAGTATGTGATCGAATCCATTTCAACTCTCTGTGGCACGTTGTCGCTGTTGTCGGCCCCCCAATCCACAACGAAACCCGGATGACTGTTTTCTTCAACAAGCCTATCTTTGTTTGTTGACATCTTGAATCAATCTAAAGATGATCCTGTCATTTCACAATCCAATACCGGGTAGCTTTTTATGATAATCTTTGATAGCAAAAGAGATGGTCTGGTGGCGCGCTCAAAAAACCACCAACTCAAGCACTCGACGGCAACTGTGGAATTGTTTCAGCTTCTGACTGTCCTGGAAAACGTAATTTTCTACAATCCATGAATCGTAGTAGGGTACTGCTTCAAAATGTCGGGGATGGCCCTATAATTGATCGACAGCTCTAAATTCGACTCAATTAAGCTTCTCTGAGATGGGTAGGAGAAAGAAAACCCCCAGTTTGGGCCGCCTCCGCGGACTACTGGTCCTGGAACGGCATGCAACGACTGCAAAAGGACCAGTTGGCAGCGAAAGTCGGCTTTTCAATCTCAGTGGGTAGGAGAATCGAAGGCCGCCAGTCAAACTGGCGGCCTTCGATTCTCCAACCCACTGAGATTAAAAAAATGCGAGGGTTACCTCCCATTATTTTTGAGCGTTCGCGCTCAGACAATCGAGGGAGGGTCCCGGGCTCTGCCCAGCGGGGGGTTTGCCACTCGTGCTCCGGAGCCCTCCCATTTCACCCATTTTGATGCTGCGGGGCTCCTCCAAATCTGGCGCACCTCCGGAGCAGAGATTTGCGAGCTTTGGGGAGGGCTCCATTCGCCTTCTTGTGACGTCACCTTGACGTCACCGTCCGCTGGGCAGAGCCCGGGACCCTCCCATTTTCGCTGCGGAGGTATGCCGTCGATTGTCTGAGCGATAGCTGCTTTGCTCAGCCTTTTCTATCCACATGCATCCTCACGCAAAGCCCTCGCCCCACTTGAGAAGGCATAATTTCTGGGGCATAATTTCTGGAAGAATGAAGCTGTCATCCTGGTTTTTGAAGGTTTTTATATAACAAAATATCAAGGCAAACACGTATAGTTCAACACACAAGAAATGTAGAACAGGCGGAGGAACAATGATTCAAATTGTGTTTAGGGACTTTCCCAACCCTGCAAAGGTTTCTGGCGGAGCAAACGTTGAGTATACAACAATCTAGTATTCTGTCAATCAGGCTAAAGAAGAAAAGAAAACAAGGAGTAAATTTTGAAACGCAATGAAAGCAGAGCAGGAAGAAAAACGATGAGGTCAAATGTGTTTGAGGAATTTCCCGACTCTGTAAAACTTTCTAGCGATACGAACCGTTTAAACGTGTACAACAATTCAATATTGCTGCAATCAAGCTAAAGAAAAAAGGAAACAAGAGAATTCCCTGTAAATCAACTTTTAATTATTTTGGGCAATACATCAATCAAGTTGCAAATGGCGCTGCCACGTCTGCCACGCTCCACTCTATAGGAATTCGGGAGCCAATGATATACACACTTTACGGTTCATAACATTAAGCTGTAAATGATTCCATTAATCAGTTTTTGGCTTTGTTCCTTTCTCTGGTGATAACAAGTCCATTCATCATTCTTTCAGCTCTCATTTTCTCTACTTGTGATTGAACAACCTGATAAATCGCGCTGGATTTCGTTCAAAGGCTGTGCATTTTTCTTGAGAATTTGTGTCATCTCTCCAAGTTTCTTGTCTTGATATAAAAATATAGTAACAAATACAATACAGCACTACTATGTATATCGTATAATACAATACCACAATTGGACAACAACTACAATATTCGGTTTGACATATTTTTCATAACTTCGCTAAGATATTCAATCAGCCTAAATATTTCATTGAAAAAATTGGCACAGAATTGCATCGTGGTATTTACGAGGAAATGGTCAGAACTTAGCCCAGCCATCCCAAACAAGCTGTATATCATCGGACTCGCCTTAAAATGCTAATTTCAAAAGTTATCTGACAAGAGATTATCTGGTTAGGAGCTATGAGCGTTCAAATATGAAAATTTTTCAAGTTTTAACGAATATATTTCCTTGAAAGGCAGCCTGATGGCGCGGATTTACAGCGGCATGGTCACTTCAAATACAAGGACGAAGCACATTCAACAAAAACCTGAATGAGTGTTTTTGAAACCTATTTCGTTAAAGGCGGGGGCTCGACAAATCTCAACATAGTCAAATTTTCGCTTACCTGGGGTTATTCAATACGCTGATTCCAAAAATCCAATTTTGAGAGTTTGAAAATGCCGAAAACGAGCGTTTTTCAATGCCATTTCCTTTGGAATTGGACGAGTGCTGCAAGGCTGATGACGCCGAATCGTTGCAGGACCCAATGGCTATAGCACTGCGGCGGGCAGCCTCCAATGGTGAGAAGGAAATTGCCAAGTCGTCCAGATGTGTGTAAGAATGGCCTGCGCGTGTAAGTTTGAGAGCAATTTTCTCGGCAAGGAAGGTGTGCTGTGCAACCGGGATTGCACTGTTTCCATACTTGGGAAGTAAGGAGTCTACCGCGTTAAAATTTTGAGTTGCTGAGTTTTGCCGAGCCACTGCCTTTAAACATGCGCCACAGAACACTTGACAAATCTCAAATTGAAATGCTCATAACTCCTCCCATAAGGTCGCTTGGCAGAACAAACATATATTTGAAATCAGCGTTTCAAGACGAGTCCGTTGATATACAACATGTTTGGTTTGGCTGGGTTAGGTGCTGACCATTGCCTACTTAGCTTACAAGAAGGGAATGCTCAGAAATCGAAGTGGCTATTTTAAACAAGCTGCACACCATTCGATGCAACAAAGAATCCTGATTTCAAATCTATGATCTGTATACGCAGAACGCCTTTGTGGGCGAAATTATGAACAGTTTGAATGCGAAAAAATCATACATAAAATCTGCGAAATTAAGCACATCATTGAGCTTTTACTCACCTTTAGGTGTAGCCAATATGAACTAACCTAGCTGCATGTTTTGGTCCAGCATTAAATAGAACATGGCTGCGTAATGCCAAATTTGCACTTTACACGGACGATTTCTTAGCAAGATAAGGGTCTTTTATGGCTCATAACTTCAGCCATAAAAGGGTTGTGCAGATAAGGAAGACAGATTCAGAGTCAGCGTTACATGCTACGTCTAATGGTATGCAGCTTCTTTGGATTGGCCATTTCGATTTCTGCCCATTCCCTTGTTAGCATTTTATTGCCACTCAGTCAAAACTTCGTAAAACATCACTGAATACACTTATATCTACACTAACAGTGATATTTGTCCTGGTGCTTCAATGATTTCTTATGATGGCGAATTGAAGAGATCACAATTATTGATAGAAAGAAGGTGCAGAACTTTTTGAGTAAACTAAAAAAAAACAAACTTTTCGTATCACTTTGCAGGTAAGAGCTTGGAGTACACTCTTAGTTTCTAAGTTTTGAACGAAGCTATATTTTGAAAGTCATTGTTGGTAAGAGATAGGGTGCACCAAAAGCCAGGCTGGGTGTGAGCAAATTTCTTGCCTTAAAGTCAAATCGCGGATCTACGAATATCATTCTGTAGAATTAGCCTCAACCTACAAGGATAGAGTAAAATGTTGCAGGGGCTTTTTTCAAAGTGATGTATATTTGAAGTAATGTGAATGACCTGAGGTCTCTGGAATTTAGCAACCAAACTGAAGGAGTTGTTAAAACTGCCGCAGATCTCAAAAAAAAAACAACAACAGCCCTTTGATGAAATGTTATTGGACACTGTGCACATAATCTTAGGGCATTCTATTTGCGTCGAACTGTGTAAAAGAGTAAATCTTGTAAATTGAGCATCACATCTCAATCTCGTGTTGTACCAATTGATCATTTCATAAAGTTTTTTGTTGTGGTGAAAAAATTTTTACTAGCTTAGCCTTCGACGGAAATCTTCGTTATCGACGTCATTAAGTCAAGGTTCAAACTATTAGATTGTAACAGAACTAATGCAGGTTTTTCGCGCACCTTTTTCAGAACGCTGGTTCAAAATAGGAAAGTAATTTCCCAGCACACCTTCGACACATAGAGCCATGTACTTTGGTAATCTTCACTTTGAGCGTCATGATAGAACACAACCTTCACTTGGAGAGAAGTACAGAAGTCATCCAGGGCGAAGCCCCCGACATTATGATAGCTAATGACATAATCATATAGGGATAAATGTGAATGAGGCAAATATAGCAGTGACAAAACAAGCTCAAAAACTAAAGGTTTGCGTTTTTATGGCCTTTTTTGCTGAAAAGAAGTTTCTATTCAAAAAGTCAACCAAAACTAGGGCAAAATTTCTCAATTAACCTTCCTCTAGACTGCGATTGAGCGTTGAAAGTTCAAACGAGAAACTGCGCTCAAATCTTGCCCAGAGACTCGCCACATAAATGCTGGTCTACCTCGTTATGAAGTGATTTTCAAGACCCGCTACGTTGTCAGGTGCCCCTGGCCGTTTCATGAGGATCACAACGATATATAATGTTATAGGGTTTCGTTATGATCCCGCGGAGATCAATGACCAGAGCCAAATGCCCCGTCGGCTCTGGTCTCTCTCCGCTGCTCGTCTGTGTCTCCGCGCGTTGCGCGCTACCTCGCTACCTCAAATGCGGGGCGCGGAGCATTCAGCTCTGGTACCCTTTTCTTCGTTGTTCCGAGCCCAATTTCGACAGTCTATATGTCATATTAAAGCTTTTGATCTCTATTTTCACGCGGACAACGTCGCAAGACTCCTTTTTTGAGTTAAACGAGAAATCTGGGAAAAACGGCGTTTTCAAAAACCTCTTGTTTTTTCTTCAATTTAACTTTCACTAAGTTTTTTTTCGTGTAATCGATAGGTCTTGCTCCTGTCTATGATGTAGACATCGCCGAGCCTACTTCCTTGCTTATGCCGGTTTTTTGCGAAAATTACTAAAAAGTGCGTTTTGCTTTAGCTTGTTCTCTTTCAGTGCTTCTGCAACGAATTTTCTTTAGCATGGACGATACTTGCTCAAAATGATGAGCGGAAGAATCCAGACAACGTCGCAGGATACGAAACGACTGTGCAGGGGTGAAAATTCAAAGGACGCATCAAAAATCAGATTGGCGTCGATGTGCAATATATCTTTTCAAACATGTTTAACATGTTCAAGTCAGTTGTTGACAAGCTTTCTTCTTTTGGTCTCCTAACTATCGCCACAGCTAAACAGTGCTTTTTTTAATTGGAAAAGAACTTTGCTCTTGTTGCCACCCAATTTAACCGGCAATCCTGAAGAGAAAACTGTAAAAGGGAACCAGCAAGTTGAGGTTTCAAATTTGGTAATGCGCTAACCTCTGCATTATATGAATTTTTTAAGTTTCCTGGTTTAATCCATTTCTCTAAATTTCCATCTATTTTTCTGAAACAACCTTCACTTTTTGTAAGGAGCAGGAACGCAAACAACCATCACTTTCTAGCCTCTGTCTCTTGACTATCGAAGGTTTGTTTCCCAGAGAGTTTTGCGTGTCATTTGGAAGCTATTTTCTTCTAATTTCTTGTGCATTCTTTTTCAATGAAAGTGAATTTGTCTAGAAGTTCTAAGCCCTTGAATTTGAGAAACCAATTCTCGAAATTCTTCCTTTCAATAAACCTGGTTCTAAAACCACCAAAAAAATCAGAATTTGCTGCAAATTTGCATAGTACTTTTGAATGAACTTTTTACAAAATGCACGTTGAATCATGAATTCTGAAAGCATCTGAGCCGAGAAATTTCAGAGCAAAATTGAACGGTCGCTGCGGTTCGTCTGCCCTATATAAAAATCCTCTGCCGGCTGCGCAGCTTCCGCTTTATATAGGAAGAATAGATTTTAGACATTCATGGCTGAAAAAATTGGGAGCAGTTCTCCGTATTCAGTTCTAGAAAAATTCAAAATTTCAGAGAAGCGATTTTTCAAATTCTCAGAAAAGTCGAAAAAATGAGTACTTTCAAAAATTTTTCAAATATCCTGTCGCAAAGAATTCTTTTACAATTTCGAATTTAGCGCTGCTGCACAACCGACCATAAGCTACACAGTTATATTTCTGCTACCTTACTACATTTGGTAGCAAGTTATGGTCTCAAAGTAAAGGTCTTCCAAAAAAATTCTTGGCAGAGTTCGGGCTATAAGATTTTTCTCAGTGGAGCTACAACAATACAATAATGCATACTGAGTTGAAAAAGGCTTGCTGATTACAACAACTTGTTGCACACGAAAACACTATTTGTGTAAAAAGTTACAATGATCCAAACACAAAATTCAGAAAATCTGCATTTATTCTGTTACAACCTAATAATAATGTGTTGATGCTACTAATCCAACCAGTAACCTATTCTAATTTTAGACATCAGAATTAGCATATGTCGTGTGGAAGATTCGCGAAAAAGGACAAATTTTCGGTACATTCTTCTTTTTGATCCCATTTCCAGATGTAACAGTCGCACCCTGGTTATTCTAAGAGCGAACACGCAACGAGTTTTTGCGTGAGAACATTTGCCGTGAGGCGTTGCACTACGAGGGTTATACAGGGTGTCCCAAAAAAACGTATACATTGTTTGATCGTTAATAACTTCTTTACTTTGATGTGTCTGCCACCGATCTTTAGGTACCATTCTGTAGAGCGAGGTTCCACTTAAAATTACCGCATGGAGCAATCATCGATCGCTTTTCATTAGTGTGGGATTAGGTAGGAACTTCTAAAGCATTTTTGCGGGTGGAGGACATTAAAGAGGGCGGTCCCCGCGGTCATTTGCGACAAATACGCACCCTTGTAAATACGAGGACATGCGTTCTTGCAGGGAATCCGAGCGGGACTCTTCCAAATTCGGCGACCTAGTGTCCTCCACCCTATTTTTGCCATATTCTGCCTCGGAACAAAACCAAACATAACAAAAACTCTCATACTCAGGTAATGGAAGCCGCTGATTTCGAATATAAAATATCCAGTTTACCTTGTTGCTTCTTTCTCGAGTTATCCCAGGTAAAAAGCTGAAAACACTTGTAAAAGTTGTGTGGTGGAAAGCGTGCGCGAAAACCTACATAGTACATGATTTTTCAGATTTTTTGAATACAAATTTTGTCAAATGGCTATTTCACAAGGACCCATGTTTATTTATTTATTTATTTACATTTTCATTTATTCCATACGCTCATGGCGTTCCTTATAAAGAACAAAAATACACCGTCACTTTATACTTCAATCACGATAGTTCATCATCACGTAGTTTGGGTCCAAATTTTCGGACTGCATTATCAAAAGTGTGATGAAACCTGTTGACTGCATTACGATTGTAGTCAACAGAATTGAGTTAGTGTGATTCGTGGAGTTGATACCCATGCCCCTTTTTTGCCAACAAAACAATTTCGATTGTAAAGAAAGCGTGTACAGTGGAAGCGTGTGATCACCTTTAACATGCGAAGGAAAATCATCAATGGAAACATTTATTGTAGTTGGAACCAGTAGCAATATGCAGGATGTGGAGCGGGAGGGGAGACGAGAAGTGAGACCGTGGACTATGGCATCAGCGGATAGGTGGCCAACGTCAGGGACGAGGAGCTGGTCGTTCGGGACGGCCGTCGATGATCGAATGCTTGCCGAGTTCGCCGTCCATACGCCTAGAATGTTTCAGCGTGAACAACATAGCTGCGAAAGAATGCATAGCGCGCAGCGCTGCTCTCATACTCTCACAAGTCTGGCATCTTACTATCGCGACTCTCAACTCTCATAGTAACAAGCAAACAGTTTGATGGTTGATATACTGTCTAATCTCACCAAACCAGTATGCTGAGGTAATGCAGTGACTCAAATGAATATCAGCAAGGATTGTAGTGAAATGGATAACTCATATGTTTGGGAAGATCATATTGAGCCTATGATCAATGAGTGGTAGTCATACCAACTCCTTTGCCAGCAGGGAATGCTCTCAATAAAATAAGCAAAGCGGGGCTCGAATAATAGTATAACAGTACTAAAGAATTTGCCCAAGTGATTTCGGAGCAAATCCAGTGACTCCGAGAGAATATC